TGAGGTGTAGGCTGTTATCTACCTGGCTTCTTCTAACTGCTTCTCTCTTGCTTTCCTTTTAGCTTTCTTTCCCTGAGTGTTAGCCAAACGAGCTCTAGCTTCAGAAAGCATCTCAAGTTCATCTGCAAAACAAATATACAAAGTCCATTCATTCATTTACAAGTGGCAACATGAGATCAGAACAGCCTTTCAAAAGTTGAAAAAAAAAACCCTATAGATTCTACATCAGCTACAAATTCTAAAACCTACAAATTCTACATCACTTAAATCTTCTTTGAACTCATTTAGCTTGATAGAATTCTTAACTTATATCCATTATAGCTCTATATTCAGCTCTATTCTTTAGATTAAAGAATAATCTAAGCTTGCTTTTATATTACTGAGGCTAGAATCTCAGACTGAAACATCTTAGGAATAAAAACAGCATTTTCTAGAACAGTCTACATTCAGTTTCTCTTTTCTGATTTGTTATCATAATATTTTGACAATATTCAGAAAACTGTACTGCAATAGATTTAAATCCTGGCCAACCAGAAAAGCAATATATCTACCATAGGCAGACGTAACTAATGGGGACTCTATGACCACCTTATCACATAGCCTGGAAGAACAACCATGTTTTCAACAGTTTTCCTAAATGTGTCTCTGGGAGGATACTGTTCCAGAGGATCAGCACTGCAAAAGAATTGGCATACTTCCTAGGTACCACAAGGTGACATTGTTTGAATGGGAACTACAACAATGCCACCCTGCTTGATCTTACTGGATGGGCAGAAACAAATGAAGATAAGCAATTCTTTAAATATAGCCAGATGCTCTGCAATGAACAGCTTTAAAAGTAATAATTAGTCACCTGAAGTGCTCCTGGAAGCTGACTGGTAACTAGAGCAACTGTTGAAGTAGTGAGATTGTGTGAGCATAATGAACGAATACTGCGTGTGTGGCATTCTGGACCAGTTTAGCTTCTGAATAGTCTGCAGGATAGCCCTTATATACAGCAAATATAGTAATTCAATCATCTCATGATTGAAGGGCTTGAGTGACTTGATTGTCTGAAGGGCCCCCAGTCCAGGAAAGGCACAACTGGCACACTAGATATTCCTTTGCAAAAAGCTTTTTTGGTCACAGCTGCCACCTGCTTTTTGAATAAGAACTGGAGATTCCAAGACTCTGATGCTCTCATTAAGCCACCTCAGAGTCATGATATATAGGTAACCAGGAACTGATGGATGAACTTACCTAGTAGTTTTATGCAGTGTTAAATAGAAGGGAAGTGAGCATCAAACCCTGTAGCATTTCGCAAGTCAAGGATGACAGGCATGATCTCTCCTTATCTGTCAACACTGAGTGAAACTGGCTGGGTCTAAAGTGAAGCTGACCAAGCTAACACTCTGTTAATTTGGTGACTGGAGAAACCCATTCATTTCTTTCATTATGGGACTTTGAGAATCAGAAAATCAAACTCACTCCAGATTATTTCATAAGGCCCTGCCATTTCAATCGGATCTGTCTAGTCACAAGTCCAAGTCCTCACAATGGCCTGGTAGATTGTCTTGTGACCCATTCTTCTCTAATAGGGCCCAGAAAGCTTTAAACAGGGTAGCTATCTACAGACACAAAAAAGCAGAAAAATGTTTTGCCATCATATCACCATGATGTAATCCTTAATATAGATTCTTAGTCATGCTATTAATTCGCTCTTTATCTTTCTCTAAAGAGTGTTCCAGGTATCTCTCCCTAAACTGTATTTCCTGGAGATCCTCGGAAAACAATGAAAACACCAGGATATGATAGGAAGAAAGGCACATTTAGGGGCAACCCAGCCTAAGGCCATTATTATCAACACATTCTGTGTTTATGAGGCTCCCTCAAATCTAGCTCAACTTTTTCTTTCTTTCTTTTTCTTCCCTCCCTCCCTCTTGAGATAAGACTATCATACTATTGATTTAATGAAGAAAATGAATAGGACAAACATTAATTTAAAAACATAAAACACAAAAGGGAAAATACTCAGGGACTGCTTCGACCAAAGGGAGACATAATTTGAAAAAAAAAAAAAAAATCAAGCATACCCTCATCCATATCAATAGGATCTGGCCTGGCTGGCTTAGTTTCTGGGTTTGGATCAATTTCTCCAGGTTTAAGTTTTCTAGGATCATCGGCAGTTTCTTCTTCATTGTCCCTTTGAGCAGCTTTATCTCTATCAAGATGATACAAAAAAACAACACAAAGATAAGAAAACAACATTTCTAAGAAAATTACACAATTTAGTAATCACTGCAATTCCAGAATGCCATAAGAATCAAAGCAAAAAGTCCTGTTCTATTATTAAGCACCTCAAAGTTTTCTTCAAAACGTTTAGGCATTTCTATAACAGGAAGTATGCCAACATCTAAGAATCTATGCTCCCATTACAATGAAAAATTACTTACAACAAAAATTCATAATGCTCCAAGCACTGGGCAGCTGTTCGTCCAATAATTGGTGCAATAGTTCTCCACTGAGTTGGCATAAGTTTGGCCAAATGGAGCAATTTCTCTTCTTCCTCTCGTGACCATTCTGTCTTCTTAATACTTGGGTCTAGCCATTCATACCTTATGCAAAATGAAAATTTTGTTGCTTAACAGAAAATTTCTATTAAATATAAGAATACATTAAATATCAGCATTGACCTTCAGTTTTAATAAATAAATTTCTTGGATTTCTTTTGTGTAATTTTTTTACACAAATATTTCTGACATTAGTTTAATCCCAAAACTATTTTTTTTTTCGTAGAACTTTTAGAAGGCTTCTGCCTACTAGGTGAAATAAAAAATCTTTTTCACTAACATAACCAAATCTATTTTAAAATTATATGAAATTAGATTACCATCTGGCTTTACATTGCTTTGCTGATTTTCTGTGCAACAAAGAGGCAATACGAGACCACTGGTTTTTGCCATATTTCATTACAGCTGCTTTAAGAATTTCATCCTTAAAAAAAGAGAGAGTTTTGTTTATTATAGTATATATTTAACAGGATTTTGTTTCAGTTCTAATTAAAACTTCTTATAAAAAAGGGGCCAGGTTTGCATGAAAAGTCAATTTTGTCCCCTTTCATAATCCACCCCTTTCCCCTCTTCCTCCCTTAACATAAGAACAAAAGATTAAATGAAATTAAAAGAAAAGATTTGGGACTGTTTACTAAGAAATATCAGGAAGGTGAGCTAGATTGTATGGACCACCATGTTCCAGTAGATCAAACTGATGGAACAGACGTCTATGATGGAGCTTTATTAGAACGTTCAAGTACTGTTATGGGTCAATCTCTTAATAGATATGTTTCTCTATGACTGTCCAAAACAAACGAATATATAACTAGCCCAATGCTATTCAGGCATTTGGCCAATGGCATGTATTTATGGCCGTTGCACTGTCCCAAAGTCATGTGATCACCATTTGTAACCTTCCCACCTAGCTTCCAAAAAGGCAAAGTCAATGGGGGAAGACAGACTCATTTAAAAACCAGGATTCACTTAATAACTGCAGTATTTGCTCAACTGTGGCAAAAATGTTCATAAAATGGGGTAGAAATTATTTAACTGTCTGTCTTAGCAACGGAAATTTTGGGCTCCCTTATGGCGATAAGAACTATGTATATTTAAAACAAATATCTGGAAAGGCATGCATAGAACTGATATAACCAAGTTTTCATTCAAAATTATACAATTTTCTAATGTTCAATCACATATTAAGTGTAAATATAAATGCAACAGTAAGAATGTACTATTAAACTAAGGATACAAAAATTCAAATGATGGCTAGATGGCAGCAAACACATTCAGAAAATTCTCTGCCACATCAAACAGGCTTCTAGATTTTTGCAGCCCAGACTCAATATCCCTAGCAGAACATCCATATGAATTTTTATTTCAGGCTCACATTTTCCCACTTTCAAAAAAGATCTATCATGGAATTGGCTCGTCTTTCTTAAGGTACTGGTTATGTTTCATGAAACTGAAGTGAAGAGCCACAGGTTTCCTACTACGTCTTAAGGTCTGGCCAACAATTAGAAGATACAAGACAACCATTTGGAAACAACCATCAAAAATGGTGTGCAATCTCTCTTATCGGCAAGAGAGAGGAGTTCCCTTGAAAATGGGTTCCAGCACGAGTCCGAAAGCTCGGAAGACTAAATATCTGGTCTCGATGACAGACCCAGATTGGATCCTACACAGCAGTTAAAAGCAGCGTGGATCGTCCTCCTTTCTCCTGTTTTTTTCCCCTACAACATAAATCCTCTGAAGAAGGTGAGGGCGAGAGTGGCCAATGTCAGGCAGGAAGCTTCAGTGGACCAGGACCAGCGCTTCCTACTCCTTGTCCCAACTTATAGTATACACTTATGGTACACTAGCTCTCATTGAGATCGGGAAGCTCCAGTCCCCAATACAGAGAAGGAAATACACTGAATTTAGCTTTGCTTGTTAGTACTCTTTAGATACTTATTTGGCGTCATGGGGAAGCAAGATGTAAGCTTCCATCCCGACGCAATAAAAAAAACAGAACCGCTAGCCAGAACCATTTTCTCTTCCACGCATGCGTCTGGGCCCCTTGCGCATGCGCTTGTCGCCGCCGTCGCCATAACTGCAGAGGCCCTACGGAGAAAGAGCAACTCTGCTCTGAAAAAGGTTGGGAAACCGTGAGAATATTACCTCTGTATTCCTCCACACGCCCCCTTTTATCATGATCCGCGGCATCGTGACGATAGATGAGTAAAGTCCTGCAAAGGGAAACAAACAACGGCGGAACAAGCAAGCCCCCGACGACCCGAGAGGAGCTTAGATAATCGCACAGGCGCACTCTTGCCAAGTGAACGTCTCCTGCGAGGATTCTCAGAAAGGCTCGGGATTGGACAAGAGGAAGCCCCGCCCACTTATGGGCAGGGACAGTGTTGGTTCTTTGCGCGTGCGTGCTCGTTTTTCCTTTAAGTCAGGATAGTTTCATTTTGTACTGAAAACTTAACTGGAGCTGGATGATGGCTTTTCACACTACAATGTCAGTTAATTTACTAATTCCACGGTGCTGATTCTTTTTCTCCAAAACATAATCCTCTCAGTACTGGTTTATGAATCGGAATTTAACTTGTTTGGATATGCATTACTGCGATGTGGGAGCCCAACCCCATCACTTCTGCTCTATAGATTTCTTTTTTTCAAGTCTGTCCCCATTTCTGTCTTGTCTATACGCGGAAAACACTTCGTGCATCCCATAAAATCCGAATCAAAAGTGAAAATAGCCCAACGTCCCCCGCAGGAATCCCCCGCAGCCCTTCCCGGCAGCGCCAAGTCTCTTCGGGTCCCTCCAACTTCAAAGAAAAGCGCTCTGGTCTGCTCAGAGGCCCCCATCGCGGACCGAGCTCCTCAACCGCATCCAGCGCCGACGGGGAAGCTATAGAAGCGCGGGCGGTGGCCACGTGACTATTTGGGGAAGATTATCCCAAGACCGTCCAAAGTTTGAAAAGTGAGTGGGTGCAGTTGGCGGCTCTCTTTCATGCCTCTAGTTCAGTGATGGCGAACCTTTTAGAGACCGAGTGCCTAAACTGCAACCCAAAACCCACTTATGCATCGAGTGCCGGGTAAGTGTGGCCCATTGGCTGGGCGTGGCTACGGTGGTAATGGTAGACTGGGTGGGACTAAAAAGTTCAATCAATCAATTCCAACTTTGCAAGATCTTTTTTTTCCGGGAGAAGTTGAAGTTGACTGATTGAACCTTTTTTTTTATTTCACACTGCGACGGAGGCATAAAGCAAAAAGGTTTTATAAAACCCACCTGAAGGCCTAGGACTGGGGTGAAGGTGTGCGTGCCCACAGAGAGGGCTCTGAGTGCCGCCTCTGGCACCCGTGCCATAGGTTTGCCACCACTGTTCTAGTTCGCCTGATTGAGTCATGGCAACGGAGAAGCTGGCACTCCTGTCTCAGGAAGGTAAGTGGCGAAGGGGTGGAAAGGGCTTGGCGCCTTCATTCCTCCTGTTTGCCTTCAGCTTGTAGGGACCCCCCTCTAGAGGGTAAGTGGTACCCAAATGGACAAAGCACAATTTAACAAGGAGGGGGTTGTTAAAATGTGTCTTATATAGCAATGCAAAAAAGCCAAAAATGAATAAATAAAACATTGCACCCTCTGACTCTCCACTTCCAAGGGGAGAGGCTTCATCAACCAGAAAAGACATTAAAGTAATCATTCCCTTAGGATGAGAATTGCAGCGGCTCTCTGTCAAGGGGACTTTGTAATACCAAATATGGTATTAAAACCCAATGCCAACTTAGCCAGATACTCCTCAAACAGGAAAAAGAGCTTGAAGGAGGCAATTGGCACATAACTTCCACTTGGCAAATTCATAGATGGAAATGAAGTTGCAATAAGTAGCCCCAGAGGAGCAGAAGCCATCAGATCAGTACATTACTACAAGGGGCAATGAATTGTTTCACAGCCACTACCGTAGTTCAGTTAGTTGCTTCAGAGTGGCTCCTCGCTTCTGCTTCAGGAATTATTTGACTGAGGCGGTGTTCTCTTCCCATCCTCACGGAAGGAATTACAATAGGATATGCAAGAAACAATTGGAAATACATCAGGATGTTTGTATAGTGCAAGTGCATTCCTTTCAATATGTAGTCCCCACTGTGTATTTGCCACTGTGTCTAGTCACTCTCTTGTAATCCCTTCCTCTCCTATCCATCCAGTCTGCAAGGGAGGAAAAAAAAGAAAACAGGCCAGGTAGAGGATAAGTGACTCTAATGGCAATCACAAGACTGAGGGGAACTTCAAAGATTGTAAATGCAGGCATTGGTCATAAATCTGCTTTCCAGCACCATGGTAATTTCAAACAATTGCTGGTTGAGGCAATTGGTAATCAAGGACCACCTGTACAAACATTAATTCCCTTTTTTAAAAATTATCCTGGCACTGGGATGAACATTCCAAAGGGCAGGATAGCAGGAAAAGGGAAGTACAGGCACAGTCATGTAATTTCCCATTTAGCAACTGCTTCACTTAACAACAGAGCTGCTGGTCACAATTGTTGCCTATTGAAGACTACCTGTAATGGAACTGGAAGCCTACTCCTTGTCTTTTATCAGAAATTTAAAACAGTTGTACGTTTCATATAAGCCTTAATGTTTAGAAGTCTACTTGTTTAAGAGATGGCAAGATAGAAGTGATTTTCTGTTATTCAATTGGAGTATTGAAATGCTTGAGTATTGAAGTATTGAACCTGCCTTTCCTTTGTCATCAGTGCAAATGTAAATCCTATTATATCATGCAAAATATGTTTCCAATGTTTATTTTCAACTAATCAAAGTAAGGTTACATATTAGGATTTTCTTACTTCCCAAAATATGAGATCACAGAACATTTCATAACTCTCTTTATCTGTTAAAGCTATCCATTTCATGTTTGAGGCCTGGAGAATCACATATTCACAAGGAACGTTTGCTATAGAAGACTGTCTGTGGAACCCAAAGAAATAGCAAATAACATGACAAATAGAAAACTAGAAGTGAATTTTGTATCACGTATTGCATTTTTTTCATTGTTTTATTTACCTGTAAAATGAACTATGAGGAATGTGTACTTCTAACCCCGAGAGACAAATATATAGATGTCTTAAGAGAGAACTATTGTATTTATTTTTATAGTCTTATTTTAAACTTCGTTTGAAAATAAATACAAAGCACTGATAGGTTACTTAAGAACAGAAACATATTTGAAAATTAAACTAATTATAGTAAGAACAACTCTATAAGCCTTTCTGTGTGAAAGCTTATGATGTCCAAAATTATGAACATGCTAAAATATCTTTCGTGTTGCAGCAACAAAAAGTTTCTTACAAATATTCTGTGATATATTCTTAAATCATGCAGTTTCTTCCATTTTATTTTGCATATGTATACATCTGAGCAGAGGTTTTTTAAGCCATTATTCATGAATTAATGTAAACTTAAGACAACTGAGACCTATTCAATAAATCATGATTAATTTTTTTATATTATAATATTTGTTAGGGCCCAGTGTTTCTCAACCTTGACAATTTTAAGGCATGTGGACTTCAACTCCCAGAATTCCACAGCCAGCAATGCTGGCTGTGGAATTCTGGGAGTTAAAGTCCACATGCCTTAAAATTGTCAAGGTTGAGAAACACTGTGTTAGGCAATACATCTCTTCTGTGTTGAACTCCTGAAGACTTCCGGTAACTGGTTTCTTACAGATTGTGGTATCGTAGTTAACTCCTTCATTCATTCATTCATTCATTCATTCATTCATTCATTCATTCTCTATAGCTGCCCATTTCAATCAATAACTCTGGGCGGCTTACAATTGAAAAACTATAGTACAATTAAACACTAATAACTTTTAAAAATAATGTCTCTATGGGGCTGTGTCTCATTAACATATAAGGACTAACATCCACATGAATATTTCTGTGATATTGCTCATGTTACATCAAAAAAGTTTCCATCACATTGTATAAACTATTCCCAATGACATATTTGTGCCAAAAGTTTAACAGCTAAATTTGAATATATTTGAAATGTTGCCTTTCTATTCAATTCTAGCAGCTTTATTTTACAATTTATTGTTTAAATGCTTGATTTGTAAAATAAAGCTGCTAGAATATAAATCTGAAACATCTTCTGTGCAAAAGCTATTTAAACATTCACTTGAAGTTTTATTGAGCCATTTTGATTTTATTGATAAATTTTTATACATACCCATTCATAAACTTTTTTTATGTTTAACCCCACATGCATTTTCTACTTTCTTAGAAAGCACAACACAATATCAGGCATTGAAGCTGATTTAAATTGATTATTTTCCTTGCAATTAGTCATATCATATTCATATGATAAATCTGTACATATATATAATATGCAGAATGAATTATTAAATGATAGTGGTTTATAGCAATTGCTGCCTCTTATCCAGACATTTTTCAATATCATCAAGAACCTGGACAGCTGCTTTAGGGATTCGAGTTCCTGGGCCGAATATATTGGAAACACCAGAGTCATACAGGTAATCATAATCCTATTAAGGCAGAGAAAAAGACAGATCAACATATATAAATAAGATTTTGCTAGTAAAATTCTGTAGAAGATGTACTGCAAGCTGAGTTTCATGGTGGCCTGCTCAGATGGCAGCAAGTGGGAAAACATCAATAATACACTATCTATGGGCTAGAACATTGATGCTCTTATTTCAAATTCACTCACTCTGCATAGCCATAGTTGAGTGTGCACTGCTTGAGAAATCTGCAATCTCTAAGCAAGTACTAATCTAAACTAAAATTAAAAACCCTCAGAAAAGTGCATATTACCTCCTCCACAAGGATGCCAACATGATTAGAAGGTCCACAGCTATTAAAGTCAAAAATGCTCAAAGGAAAAAAAAAGGCTTTGTATTCAGAACAGTTTTAAATTAGTTTCTTTGTTCATACATATTTAAACATGATCTATGGGTACACTGTTGACTTAGAAGATTTTGTACTCAAAGATATGTTTTCCCAACTATGTAACTGCAAAATATTTTTCTAAGTAATTTAATTAATTTGAGAGGTTGTTTTGTAGCTGGATCTATTTTGTACGTTTAGTATTTTGAAAATATTTAACATCAGATTCTTAATGTTGATTGTTTTACAAGATACGTGGAAAAAATCCTTGAATGATGTTAACATATTTTAAGAAATGAAAAAGATAGAAAAATATAAAAACAACCACCAACCCACCACAAACAAACCACCCCAGATGTAAAGTTTATAATAACAAAAGGAACTGAATAATCTCACAATTAGTTGTGTCCTTAGATGTGCAATGTATGGTATTCAATACCTGAGGAGGGATGACACCTCCACACATAACAAGAATATCTGGACGGCCAAGGCTATTTAGCTGTTTAATGAGTTCAGGAACAAGAGTTTTGTGACCGGCAGCTAGTGTGCTCACGCCTACACAGTGCACATCAGCATCTACAGCCTGTTGGGCCACTTCAAGGGGTGTCTAAGCAAGAAATAGCAGATAAAGAATATGTAAAAATTAACAATTTGTGTATTTTTCATATATAGTAACAGGAATAAAACATTGTATGAACTACTGCAGTAAACTGGATCTTTTTTTTCAAAATTACTTTTTAAAATTTATTTCTTTAACATTTTCGAGTCACTTGGGTGGGAGAGAAAATAGATTGATTCAATCAGAAAGCAAGCATGGAAACAATTAAAAGGCTGAATACCTGGAACAGTGGACCTATATCTACATCAAAACCAAGGTCAGCAAATCCTGTAGCAATTACTTTGGCTCCTCTGTCATGACCATCCTGGCCCATTTTAGCAACCAAAAGACGTGGTCTACGACCTTCCCGTTCCAGAAAATTGTTAACTCTAAAAAAATAAATAGCAGATGGAGTACTACAGAACCACTAAACATTTTCACTGTTAGTCCAAGGGGAAAAAAAATCAGGATGCAAATTGGGGGTGCACTATTGCAAGGACCACATATGCTGCATTGCAAAAGATGACAAAATTTTAAATGATATATTTTTGAATTTTTTATGATTATTTTCTTCTTCGTACACATATCTCCCAACATAAGTGCAGGTAGACCTCAACTTACTACCATAATTGAGCCCAATTTCTGTTTTAAGCGAGACAATTGGTAAGTGAATTTAGCCCCATTTTACAAACTTTGTTGTGAAATGAATCATTGCAGTTCAGTTAGTAACATGGCTAAGCTTTCCCATTGATTTGCTTGTCAGAAGATCGCAAACTTATTACATCACTCTGGGATACTATAATCATCATAAATGAGTCAGTTACCAAGGATCTGAATTTTGATCATGTGACCATGAATATGCTGCAATAGTTGTAAGAATGAAAAACAGTCATAAATCACTTTTTTCAGGGCTATTGTAATGGTCACTAAATGAACCATTTTAAGTCAAAGACTATCTGTAGATCCCCTCTTAAGAAAAAAGGGTTTGTTATTTCTAGCTCCAGCTATGTGTGCATTATATAATTTGTTGTATTGATTTTATATTGGTTAGGTTTTCATTATTTGTTTTTTACTGATATTTCCCACCCAGAGTTATTGTTGGGCAGCCCTGTGCATTTTATAAATAGTGCGGAATTGTGTCACTATTAAGGCAGCACTTAATGCAACAGATTTTTCAACTAATGAATATAAAAATTGTTGAGGGTTTATTTTCTTATGGAACAAAGAAATAAAGCCAGTTTGCTCTAGTCCAGTGGTTCTCAACCTTTTTAATGCCGCGACCCCCAACCGGTCGTAAGTCGAGGACTTTTCCTGCCCGGGAGCGCCGCGCATGCGTGGTGCCGTCCCCTGCACCAGCCGAGGTGTAGCTGGCAAGCGGCAGAGATGGCGCAGGCCAACCACTGGCTGGGCCACCAGCTGGCCCAGCCCAAGGGAGGTAAGGCACCCGCCGGGCCCCACGCATGCCAGCAACCCTCCCTGCGCCCGCCAGCCTCCCACCCCTGGCGCTCTTTTACTTACATTTTTAGTAGTTGCTCAGCAGGGAGGGGTGGAAACTTCCAGACAGCTCGCCTTCGCTGCAGACAACTTGCAGCACCGTTTGCAGAATGGGACTTCTGGTGGGCTCAGCAGGACAGAGACAGCCTGGACAATTCCTATTGGCTTTTGAAAGCCAATAGAATTAGACTCTATTCAAGAGAGTCTATTCTATTGGCTTTCAAAAGCCAATAGAATAAAAGGGAGTAGCACAGCTAAGGAAAAGGAGGAAAAAATGGCGGACTGTGTTGTTTGGCGACCCCCGTGAAATGGTCATTGGACCCCAAATGGGGTCCCGACCCACAGGTTGAGAACCACTGCTCTAGTTGTTAAGGTACCAAGCTTGAAATCTGGAGACTGAGTTCTAATCCCACTTTAGGCCTGAAAGCTGGCTGGGTGACTTTAGGGCAGTCAGTATCTCAGCTCAATATACTTCACTTGTGGGGAATGTAGGATGAGGAAGGAGTATTAGGTCTTGTTCACTGCCTTAAGTTACTTATGAAAGTAATAAAGGTGGAATATAAATAAATGATAAAGCAAAAGGAAAGGGGAGGGATAAAGGATTGGGTATAGACAATACGGAAAAGTGGAAAAAGAATAGGACAAAAATTGAGGGAAATAGATGAAAGGCAGAGAAAGAAAGCTGATAAAGGAAATCTAGTGAAGAATATGTAAGCAGAAAAAAGAAGGCTTTAAGGAAATAGAGACAGAGCAGATCATGTTGCACACATTCTGAAGCCAGAGTTATCATTTCCAATGTATAGACATAACTTTGATTTGTGTAAACACTATAAGCATAAAATTACATGTGCACATAAGTTTAGTTTTGAAACTGAAAATTAAGAAAACATTTTTTTAAAATCATATTCAAGATATACTTATTTGCTAAATTTTAATTTCAAAATATTGTCAAATCTCATTAGGGAAATGATAGGTTAAATGAACTTGAATTATTAAACAATTAAACTAAAAAAAAAACTAATGTGGAATCCCTACATAGAAACATTAAAAATCTTTAGATATGCGGAAAGATAAAAGGCTTTAAAGGTATTAGTGGATCTTAAAATATTTGAAAGAATTACATTTATTAAAGAAATATAACTGGCTTAAAGAATGGAAAACAGAGAAAGCAACCTTCTAATTTAACAATGAAGAGAAAATACCGTAAATGCCGGCGTATAAGGCGACTTCCGCGAGCGCTGAAATCGGCGCCAAAGACGGGGGTCATCTTATACGCCGAGTCGTCTTATACGCCGGAAATACTGGTAGTTTCCGGCGTATAAGACGACGTTCTACGAATGCGGCCCGGCTATAAAGACGGGGGTCGTCTTATACGCCGGGTCGCCTTGTACGCCGGCATTTACGGTATGTAAGACTCAACATACAACCATAAGTTCTGCCAATCATTAAGTGAGTTACCATATGACGGTGCTCTATTTTATGACTTCTTGCAGTGGTCATTAAGCAAATTCCATGATTGCTAATCAAATGTGAAGATTGTTAAGTAAGCCCATTTTAGCCATTTTTTGTTGGAAACTGGAATTAAACACTATTTTCAAGTTTAAAAAGTCATAAATTATTGTCATGCTGCCAAGCAGCCATATATATGGGCAGGTTGCCAACCACCAAAATGCAATCAAGAGATCATGGGGAGTGGCCATTGGAAGTTTGAAACCAGATTATAAGTTCCTTTTGGGATCTGTCTTTGTTTCCCTAAGCAACCAGTCGTAAGTCAAGGACTACCTGCAGAGAATTTGAACTCTTGGAAAATAAGACATACAAACACATAGGAAAAGAGTACACGTCTTACCTGCTGATGGCTTGAGTAATCTCGTCACTCTCTCCAAATTCCTGACGATATGCGCCACTCACCATGCGATCGCTGGCTCTGTGCTCACCAAACACCTTTTTCATTGCATCTGTTATTTCGCCAACTGTACATCTGAAGCAAGTATGCAATCAAAACATTAGGTTTATTTCTTTTGAAGAGGTATAAACTATCAAAATATAACACCAACATTAGCAAAAGCTGTGTTCTTGTACTATAGCAGTATGCTGTAGGAATAGCATACTTATCTATATGTTCTCCAGTTCAATATTTAAAATTATAATAGTTTACATGTGTATGCATAATCTTTTAAGATAAAGATTTTTGTTCAAAAATGCAGAGTAATATATACTGTGCTCCCATCTCCCCCTCCTGAAAAAAAAACAAACCCATGAGGTAGGTTGGACTAATGGATGATTGGCCTAAGGTCACTCAGTGAGTTTTGGATTAGAACTGATTTCTGCTGTTAATCCACATCTTAATTGCTAAACCACATTGGCTCCTAGTTCAGTTGTACGGCATTAAATACCCCTCAGGGAGAACTGTTTTTGAAGTGATTAACAGAAATATACTGTTTTCAGTGGAATGTATTACAATGAATAGTATGATTGGGCTATGTGATTATATCATTTTTTCAACTCAGAATAGACTTTTACAGCGGCAGGCACTTAGAATTACAGGTGAATAAATTAAAGCTAGGTTTTAGCACATCCAGCTACCAAATCTAGCTTCGTGCCTTAACCACTAGACCAAATTCTTTTGTATATAATCTCTTCTGTCTATGGAGATTCTCAGTCATCCAAGTAATGCTTATTCCAAAGATGTTTTTCCCCTAAAAGGCAACTGGTCTTTGGTTTTTCTTGAAGATGTTTCACTTCTCATCCAAGAAGCTTCTTCAGTTCTATAGTAATCTTTTCTGTATATATTTCTGGAAGCAATGGACATGCTGGGCATTCCAAGGTATTCTAGTAATTTTTCCCCAAGGTCTTTTATACCATGAAAACCTTAGGTGAGCCTCAAATGTTTCTTTGCAGATTGAGTGCAGGGAGGCACTGTGCTTGTCAAGTACACAACTCCACTATGAACCAAAAGAGTAGCTCTAAAGTCCATTTAGTTATTTGATAAATGTGCACAATCCTTTCCACCTACCTTGCACGTGCTGCTTCTACTGCCAGGGCCAGCAAGTTACCTTGGCTTGTAGTCGCACATTCAGTTAAAGCAGTGAGACACTTTTGGGCTGCTACTTCATCTCTGCAAGCTTTCACCTTTAAGGAGAAGCATGAAAGAAAAGTAATATTGTACACTACTAATCACAGCACATTCCATCCTGACTTTCCTCACAAACTATGTTGATGAAAAAAGACATATATTGAGCCAACTCAGTTACAAAATGCGTATGTCTGAAACTGGGGTTTGAAACCAAGCAATTCAGTTGCAATCACAGACTAAAGGAAGATTGATAAGTTTGCAAATTGGCTGCTCTTAAACTGCTAAATATTGGTAGTCCTTGACTTACAACCACAATTGTGCTCAAAATTTCCACTGCTAACCAAGATACTTATTAAGTGAGTTTTGTCCCATTTTATGATCGTGTTTGCCACAATTGTTAAGTGAATCACTGCAGTTGTTAAATTAGTAACATAGGTGTTAAATGAATTTGGCTGCCCTATTGACTCTGCTTGTCAGAAATTTGCAAAATGTGATTACATGACCTTAGGACGCTACAACTGTCATAAGTATGAACCAGTTGCCAGGCAATTGAATTTTAATCATGTGACCATGGGGATGCTGCAATGGTCTTAAGTGTGAAAAATAGTCATAAGTCACTTTTTTCAGGGCCATTGTAATTTTGAATGGTTACTAAATTAATGGTTGCAAATCAGCTATAAATTCTGAGATTCTTAACCTGCCTCATTTTAAGGCCCATTAAATAATAAAATGTACAAATTTTACTATTTTTAAAATCAAAGCCATCCATCTTCAGAATATTAATTTTCTTTGTATATAGTGCATTAAAATAATTTGTAGCATGTCTAATTTTTATCAATTTTAAAAAAACAAATCACATGATTTCCCAGCACTTATATTCATTCATTTTAACTTTGTAAAATATTATATGTGATGTGTATTGTGAATCCTGACCGCTACCTATCAACTATACACTTTTCACAAAAAATAACAAGCTCCCATGAAATGGGCTGAGATATATATTTCCAAATCTGGGTATAGTAAACAGGCAATTCCCATAGTTTCTATGGTTAATGAAAGTAAATTATTAGAGTTGTTCTAAGTTGTTGCTTTAAACCAGTGGTTCTCAACCGGTGGGTCGGGACCCCATTTGAGGTCAAACGACCATTTCACAGGGATCGCCAAACAACGCAGTCTGCCATTTTTTCCTCCTTTTCCTTAGCTGTGCTACTCCCTTTTATTCTATTGGCTTTTGAAAGCCAATAGAATAGACTCTCTTGAATAGAGTCTAATTCTATTGGCTTTCAAAAGCCAATAGGAATTGTCCAGGCTGTCTCTGCCCTGCTGAGCCCGCCAAAAGTCCCATTCTGCAAACGGTGCTGCAAGTTGTCTGCAGCGAAGGCGAGCTGTCTGGAAGTTTCCACCCCTCCCTGCTGAGCAACTACTAAAAATGTAAGTAAAAGAGGGCCAGGGGTGGGAGGTCGGCGGGCGCAGGGAGGGTTGCTGGCACGCGTGGGGCCCGGCAGGTGCCTTACCTCCCTTGGTCTGGGCCAACTGGTGGCCCAGCCAGTGGTCGGCCTGCGCCGTCTCAGCCACTTGCCAGCTATGCCTCGGCCAGCGCAGGGGGCGGCACCATGCATGCGCAGCGCTCCTGGGCAGGGAAAGTCCTTGACTTATGACCGGTTGGGTAGTCCTCGACTTACGACCGGTTGGGTAGTCCTCAACTTATGACCGGTTGGGGGTCGCGGCATTAAAAAGGTTGAGAACCACTGCTTTTAAACTAAGCTATGCTTTTGTACCTTACTATAAAGCCATGTTACAGATAGCATTTAGACATATACCGCTTCGCAGTCCTCTCTAAGTGGTTTACAGAATCAGCATATTGCGCCCTAACAATCAGGCTCCTCATTTTATTGACCTCAGAAGGATGAAAGGCTGAGTCAAACTTGAGCTGGTGAGAATGGAACTCCCAGCAGCCGGCAGTCAGCAGAATTAACCTGCAATACTGCATTCTAACCACTGTGTCACCACAGCTCTTCAATGGCTAAAGGTTAAGCTTTATTTCATGAATTATGCAGCCATATTCTTCAAAGTGAACTTCTATTCTTTAGAATAAGTTCAAACATCCAAAACATAGTTCAGTCCTTGCACAATAATTTATTAAGCTATTTGAGTCATTCCCTATACCAGGTTCTTGAAGATCAGTTTTAGTTGCCTCGTAGGGTCAAGATAAATAAAATGGGGAAAAAAACCCAAAGCAGATAAAATGTCTCAAAGGTTTATAACTTTGAACTCAGATTTAAGTGGTCCAAAATAAGCCAGTCTCCCACAATTATTCATTAGTTCATCTGCTAAAGTGTTATAGGATATTTACAAACATTTCCAATATTTATAAAATTGATTTTAAAACTAGAAAATGTAGTGCTTTAAGATGTTCATATGGAAGCCTTCAGCAAAACAAGGAACAAACAAACATCATTACTGAAAAGTTGCTTATTTCAAGTTTTATATGTGATTATTATATATAGGAATAACATGAAATATGTATAAACAACAGTCTTGGAGCTATGGGGAAGGGGAACCAGATTTTTGAATGTATTTACTGTAAACCTGCACTGTAAAATTCCAAATTCCAAACATTTACAGTCTTCCTAGGATTTGAACATTTGGAAACTTCTGTAGAAAAGACCAGAGCTGTAATAGCTGGGGCTAAGAGACACAAACCTCAGCCATAAATTTGGAAGAGATTAAGATAGCTCAAATAAAGCACTCTTTAAAAGGGCTATGAAGCATTCTTAAAAAAACCTCATCTGTTGCTGGGTAATTTGACCATAACCCAATTCCTAAGCACTACTCAGTTCTTGTTAAGAAAATGAAAATAAAACATCTTTTTTTTCTTCTTTTCTTAAAAAATCTGCACAGCATTTACCTTTATCAGCTTCTCAATCTGTTTGTTACGGACTGATGTATTATCAATTGCCAAAACTTCAACAGTCTCTTCTTTTTCTAACTGGTACTTGTTTACTCCAACAATGACTTCTGATCCTATTAGTTTCCAAATATTTTTTAAAAAATAATTTTTGTTATCTTGTATCTGAAGTCAACTGAAATCAACTCATAAAGTGAAATAAGTTCAAATTGTACATATTCAATATAAAATAGCTTTTACACAGACATACGTAGAGAAGCTGAGATATTCCAATGTACCGTACATCCCTTTATAATAAACTTTCAGACATCTATGCTTGAAGTATAAAACATGTAACATTTAATGATAATTGAAGGTTGCATTGCAATGGTTAATTAGAAATAGGACCCTGATCAGTCACTACTCAGTTCATGTGAATAGCAGTACCTGAGAATATTTTTTGCAGCGAAAGCAAACCTTATTCATGACTCTTCGCTTTGCTCCATTAATCTCTCAATGCATAATATTTTGATTTGTTAAACTGAAACTATACTGTGTACGCAGTTAAGGAGAAATTCTATTGCAATTTTATAAATTTTCCTTTTGAAATTAATTACAAATCATAAAGAACTATTACCACCAAGAAATAATAGAGACTATTAAATCTATAAGCACAAGCTGCCATATAAGATGCATAATTAGTTTTTTGCACTAATCTACTAAAAGTTTATAATGATGCCTTTTAAATAAGTATTTTTCTGGCTGTTCTCACTGATGCCTATAAAAATGTGATTTTGAAGGCTGGAAAAGATTTGATTCATTGTGCAAGTTAATATCTAGTTTCCTAGTTAAAAGCTGATGCAAAAGTATTGACTATGTTCCTAGCATATACTGTAAACTGCAGATGATATTACCTTTGATCAACAATCTTGCACAATCTGGTTTTATAAAAAAAATGCCTATTATATTGAATAGACATTTAGAGAAAAATTGCAGAAAATGTCTTTGATACGGTAAAGTATAGAGTTCCTGCTTTTTTATAACCTAGATCAATAGTACTCCTTTTTTCTCCAATACTGTATGTATACAATATTATAAATTGAATTATCTTTTCATTTCTTTATGTACTAAAGCAGCGGTTCTCAACCTATGGGTCGCGACCCATTTGGAGTTGAACGACCATTTTACGGGGGTCGCCAAACGCGATCCGCCATTTTCCCCCCTCGGGGTGGCGCTGCGCATGCGCACTGCGCATGGGGGCGCCGCCGCACATGCGCACTGCACCACGCATGCGCGGTGCGTCCGTGTGACGGGGGTCGCCGTCACACAAAGGTTGAGAACCGCTGTACTAAAGCAACATTATTTTGCACTTTCTTTATATAAAATAAACTTTACAAATTATATATTAAAGATGAAAGTAATAGAATCTTTTTTTAAAATATACACACATTTATGCGGTTACTATGTCCCTATTGAAATAATTAATTGTGGATTCAGAATTCTCAGAGTTTATGCACGGATGGAAGAATCTACAGTATATGTTGCATTTCCATTGGCTATATTATGACTGGGTGGGCAGATTTTGCCACACATACGCTTGGCTTTCTAAAACTGTTCTGTAAAACTGAAATTTTTCAATGGTTTATCAGGAAGCCTGAAATTTCTTAAATCAAAATGAATGTCATATATAATATCTGCAACTCAATAATAATTTAATAATAATAATAAATGCAATTCATGAATTTGTTCATTTTTTGTTTTTGGATTTCAGAGTTCATTTTTAAGAGCAACTAGCTTTACTCTGAAATTGAATTATAAGTTTATAATAAAAAAATGAGTGTGAAGTAATTTAACAATTACAGATATCTTCAATTTATTACCATTTATTTAGTGTCTGTTTAAAGTTACAAAGCATGAAAAAAGTGACGATTGTTTTTTACACTTATGTCTTAATAAACTGTTGAGCATAAAAGGATCCAAATAATTACTTAAGTGAACTTAAAGGCTTTGGTCTGTCCAAGAGATTTGAGGATAGAGGTGGGAGATAGTAATCTTTTTATTATTCTGTTTTAAAAGTTACGCAATACGGAACACTGCTTGAGAAACATGAATAGTCTCCTTGGTCACGCAAAACGTCATGCCAAACCAAGGCAACGTTCCAATGCTTTCTTTTATTGGCAATGTTGCTAAAAAGCTTCAACTTCTTTATTGTTTTAAACTTATTCTAGAACAGAATTTAAAAACTTACAGAAAATTGGAATCAAATTCTTATTATTTATGTACAACTTATTATTCATATCTCAACTTCAGTGAGATAAGAGAAGACTTTTTAAATGCTTACAGGTTTGAAGAATAAATAATTCTGGTTTCCTTACCAGAATCAATCCTGGCTTGTCTTCGAGCAGCACATTCTTCAATGTGAAGTTTTGGTATTCCTTCAGCTACAGCTTTGGCCATTCCACCCATCTCCTCAATCTCATTGATGAGCTAACAAAGAAAAGTTGTTAATGACTATGAGTGTGCTTGTTGTCTAATATAATATTTATTTAATAAAATATTTAGGCTCCCTACTACAGAAAAATTAGTTACCCAAAAGGAATAAATAAGAACCCTCTTTATAAACAAGTAGTTAATATAAGAAAACGCATTTCCTAACTTTTAAAAGGACTGATGTCCCATGTTATAGTTTAAAATTAGCTCAAACTCAAAATGAAAGAACTTAAGTTTTTCTACAAATGGTACACACCTAACCTATTTTCAATACCTTTACATCATATAATTGTTTTCCTTAGACCTAAGCTACAAACTCCCAAATTCAACATACTGAGTATTCCTTATTATAAAGTTTATGTTCTTAACTTTGACTTAACTGGTTTCTCTCTTAATCCACAAACCTGTCTTCTATTTGGCCTAAAGCTTGGGAGACCATGAGTTATAGTACCACCTTAGGCATGAAGCCAGTTGGAGTAACTTGGCCCAGTTGCACTCCTTTTCAGTTCTAGGAAGAAAATAGCAAACCACTCCTGAAAATGTTGCCAAGAAAACTACGTGGATTTGTACATAGCTATCTGCTGACTCATCACTGAAAAAGTAATACTAGTTTTTTGTTTTGTTTTGTTGGCTAAATAGGAATCTACTTAGCTGTTAAAGAGGCAATAAATCAATATTTATAATACAAGCGACCTAGTATTTATAATACAAGCGACCTAGTATTTTTTTTCTGAGTTCATATAAAAGATTACCAGCATCTTTTTATTCCCCATTCTCTATACTAAACAAACTGACCTTTAAAGCAGCTTCATAAACATCATTGGTAAGAGATTCCATTAAAAATGAACCACCCCACGGATCAGCAACTTTGGGTATGCCGGATTCTTCTTGTATTATTATCTGTGTATTCCTTGCAATTCGTGCACTTTTCACAGTTGGCAGTCCTAAAGCTTCATCAAATGAATTTGTATGCAAGGACTGGGTACCACCAAACACAGCTGCCATTGCTTCAACTGTGGTGCGGATAATGTTATTGTAAGGATCCTATCACAAAAATCATATCATTATTATGGTGTATACATACATACATACATACATACATACATATGTAGGTCTTTGGTTATTTGGGTTTTCTCCCATGTCAAACTGGAAGTGTCTTGGCGACGTTTCGACGAAGTCTCATTCGTCATCTTCAGGCTGGTGCTTTCGGCTTCGTGCTTCTAGGAAGCACCAGCCTGAAGATGACGAATGAGACTTCGTCGAAACGTCGCCAAGACACTTCCAATTTGACATGGGAGAAAACCCGAATAACCAAAGACCTACATACAAACACCCACAAAAACCTCAGAAAACAAATATATACATATACATACATACGTACGTACGTACGTACGTACATACATACATACATACATACATACATATATGGTAAAGAATAAAATGAACACCAGGGTAGTAAAAACTATAAAAGTTTAATTAAAAAGCGCCAAGCTTTCGCCGTCACCTGCCGGCATCCTCAGGGCTAGTGCGCCAGAGAGTGAGAGAGTCTTTTATAGGTATGTCAAAGTCTGCGCCCGGCTCCTCGATCTCGTCATCGGGCCTAATTGGTTCAATTGCATACAGCTGGTTTGTTCCTAAAATGTTGGTTACTCAGTTCTGTATTGCAAAAGTCCCGATGATCTTGGATCCACCTCTTTAGGTTCCGTATTCTCCTATGCTGGTCATTGACCAGCGCATACAACGTGCGCCGTTGGAATTGGCGAACTGCTTGCCGGCACTCCAAGGAGTCCACCGTTGGTTTTCTTCTTAATGAGTTCGGCGTTAAATTCTCCTTGATACAACTATGAAGAAATGCTAGTTTGCAGTAGTTAGCTGAGACTTGCCGTGCAAACTTCTCCCACTTTCTGGCTCTGAGCAGAACTGCTCTACTGTATTCACGATTAAGAAAGTTAAAAATATGAACCCTGGGGGTATTCATGGTAAAGAATAAAATGAACACCAGGGTAGTAAAAACTATAAAAGTTTAATTAAAAAGCGCCAAGCTATTCCAGTTCTCCCTTTATTCCTTGTTAGCAATCTAAAAATATGTATACATACATACATACATACACATATACATACACACACTCAAACAAATTTACTTCTTTAAAAATTGCACTGCATCATAACTGATACTCTGACTTTTACCTGCTCAGTTAGTGACCATCCTGAAGTCTGACAATGAGCTCGAAGGAGAAGTGATTTGGTGTCCTTGGGCTGAAACATTTTCTCTATTAACTGAGCCCAAAGCCGTCTCCCAGCTCTTAATTTAGCTATTTCCATATAGAAGTTCATACCAATTCCCCAGAAGAAAGAAAGCCTGCAATAAAATAACTTAGGATCATATCTAGAATAGTAATATAAAACCTATATTTTAAATAAACAACATAGTTCAATTTAAAATTTTAAAAAGAACCCTCATTTCTTTAAGCTAATAAAACCACAGACAATTTACTAAAAGGTCACTGAATCATGACCTATAAACCAGCCTTTTTCTATGTAATTTCTATGTAAGAACAAGAAATATTATATTTTCAGAGAGATGGAAATTATATATAGTCCATAGTGAAAGCAGAGATTTGATTAATGTCTTAATTTAAACTTGTAGTATAGTATTCCAAACTCTCTCACCTACAAATGTCATTAAGCCATGAACAAATATATATTTTCTTTTAAAGTTAATACTTATATCTTATTGGGCTATTCATGCACTGAGAATCCTGACAGGAAGTATTTTAGTAAGATGCCAAATTAAAAAAAAATATCAACCTACAGCAGGTGTAAGACTGGTGGCCATATGCAGGCCATGTCCACCCTGGCTCTGCAAAGGCAAAAAACGTTGATATATCACAATATGTCACGTGATATATCACAATATGTCACGTGATATATCACAATATGTCACGTGACACCTGTGACCTATAGCATTCTTAATAGAATAGAAAATAGTACCTTCTAATGTGATTGTTTTGTTTTATTTTAATCCAGATAAGCAAAAAGAGAAAAAACGTACCTTGTTTATCTCCCCCCCCCACTACTCAACCAAAACTACATAAACATACCAGATTTGAAACAAGGTTCTTTTTTACTCATAGAAAGATGGATTGAAAAGGGTGATATGTTTCCACACAGATAAAATGGCTTCAAACTCACAAAGGTCTGTTCCCTCATCCAGCAATGCACTCAAAACACAAGACTACTCACTAGAATTTCAAATGTCCGAAGTACCTCTTGTTCCTCTATTTACTAACCTAGTAACCAAGCATACCTCCAAACCAGATGAATAAATATTCTGTTACATCATTCTTTTGTTCTAAATGGGCACAAATCAAGATGATAACTAGAATTAAATTGAATGCAACTGTTAGAACTCTACCTTCAAGAACTGACTGGACTGTATTAATACTAAAAAAGAATGATTCAAAAACACTCTTGATCATTTACCTAACTTATCTAAAAGGCAAGAAAATCCCGCAACTATAAGAGCAAGCCATTGTAAAACTATGGAATGTAACAGCTCAATTCACAATATATGCCTTGATCCTGAGGATAGAGAAGAAGCCATTGCCCCTCCTCCCCCCAATCTGAATTCATGTACCTTGGTGCAAATTCATCAATGGTGAGACCAGCTTTAAGTCCAGTTCTGCAGTACTCCAAGCCATCAGCTATTGTATATGCTAACTCCAAAATGGCATCAGCGCCAGCCTCTTGCATATGGTATCCACTGATAGAAATAGAATTAAATTTTGGCATGTGCTGTAAGAAAATATGTACAAATTTGTTCTGTAACAAACACTGATTCTTATACACATAACCATGTGGTAACTAAAGCAAATAAAACTAAACAATACCTTTGATGTGTATTGGAAGATGTCAGCAATTATTCGCATTGATGGTTCTGGTGGGAAAATGTATGTATTTCGAACCATGAATTCCTTCAGTATATCATTTTGTATTGTCCCTGTCAGCTTGGATTGAGGTACTCCTTGTTCTTCTCCAGTAACAATGAACGTAGCTAGGATAGGAATTACCGCCCCGTTCATTGTCATTGAAACAGACATTTTCTCCAAGGGAATTCCATCAAAAAGAATCTTAGTATCTTCTACTGTGTCAATGGCAACTCCAGCCATTCCAACATCACCCCGAACTCGAGGATTATCTGAGTCATAACCACGATGAGTTGCTAAATCAAATGCGACGGATAAACCCTGCTGACCAGCTTGAAAATGAAATTAATAATTTAGTAAAAATATAAAATATGACGTATACAACTGTATTTTCATCTTTGTTGGATGGAATTTGACTGAAAAAGGGATATTAGTTGTTCAAAACAATACAAAGGAATCACCTTAAAATGTAGGAAAAAATTCAGTGTTGCATAAGCAAGGGTCCAATTGCACATGGCTTTCTTTCACCTTGCAGCCCCTCAATTTTCATCAAAGGATCCCCAATTCTCCAGTGCATATTCTGAGTAAGCACAGAGGGCTATGTGTTGTAGCAGAACTACTCTTGCTGTTTCTATTCTTGTAAGCAATTTTATTAATGAAAGTAATCTATCCTAAAAATTTAAATAGATTTCATATTATGTATTTACAGGACTGCAGTTGAGCAACTTATTATTGAGCAGAGAAAATATTCAATACTTCTCAGTCCTCCTCTTCTAAGCAAGTACTTACCAAAACAAATGTAAACTGAATGCTGTATATGATCATCCTGACAGGACGCTATTAATTCCTAAGCAACTTATTTCTGATATTAATTACATATAAATATATGTAAACAAATTAAGTAAACCTAATTACAATTGAAAGCCAATTTGATTTAGTGTTTAGGGGCATCTGGCTAGCAATTGGGAGACCATGAGTTATAGTCCTGCTTAGGCATGAAGAGAGCTAGGTGACTTTGGGCCAGCCACTTTCAGCTCTAGAAAAAAGGTACAGAAACTCACTTCTAAAAACATGGCCACAAAAACTGCAGGGATTCATCTAGAAGTTAAGACTGACTTACAGATACAAAAATATCCGATTACAATCACAGCATTGTCCTTAATGCCCAATCCCTAAGGAACACATCTCACCCTTGATGTTATCTTTATAAAACTTGTTGCTTTCCTCCACAGTACTGAAGCCAGCATATTGGCGGATGGTCCAAGGCCTGTACGTATACATGGTAGGATAAGGACCTCTAGTGAAGGGCTTTACTCCAGGTAATTCTTCAGGAAAACCTGCTGTATCACGTGTAGAATACAGTGGTTTGATGGCAATTCCCTCTGGAGTGTGCCATATCAACTCTTCAGGGCTTTTGCCCTTTAGCTGCTTTTTAGCCATAGCAGCCCATTCAGGGTGGAATACATGCTGATGTAGCAAACGCCAATTCGGTCGGAGGGGAGGGAAACTTGCTTCTTTCCTGCAACATAAGGGCCAATGATGCAGAAGTCCATTCTTCACCCGTAACATTTTCTACTGAAATGGTCGTGAAGATGCACCTGTGTTCCAAGAACTGGATAAAATTAATGACGCAATTAGTTACTTTTAAGAAGCCCAAAGAAATAGTTCTTCCTTTTATAACTCCCATGTAAAATTAGATGCATCCATTTTGTTTAATGGGAAGAAAACAAGTTGTGATTTACAGGCTTCTGAAATTCTAATTTCAAAAAACAACTTTCAAATTTGTTTTTGCACAGACTGTCTGTTTTCTCATGTTGACAATTCAGAACCTAAATGCAATTCAGTTGTAGCATGGCTACAAATAATCTTAACAGACTGTGAGCACAAAAGGACCAGGAAGAACCAGGAACTAGCAAGCATTCAGAGCGATCAAGCAAGCTACTTGATTATCTCCGCCTATCAGAATATGGAGGGAACAAAGAAAGAAAAAAAGTGTCAGGTTTCATTTAAAACTGTTCACCTTAACAGGTGACCTCAGTAAAACGCCATAGGAAAGAATTGTCTTAGGCTCCCTGTGGTGAGAGAAATATATAGTAAGTTAGTAATAAAACAGTAAAACAGTAATAAACTCATGATGACTTTAAAAAAAGGCATCAAACTTTTGAACAAACATCAAAAAAAAGTAGAATGTGTGAATTTTGAGTATAAAGGGTACCTCATATTTTATAAGGTAAATGAGGAGTTTTGGCGCTTAAGAGACTTGCATTAGTAATCTCCCAATCCCTGACAGGGCAAACGTATAGGTCTGCATCGTTTGATTGTCTACTATTATTTCCAAAACATACATACATATATACATACATACATACATACATACATACATATATATATATGCCCAAAGACACGTCTGCATCGTTTGATTGTCTACTATTATTTCCAAAACATATGTATGTATGTATGTATGTATGTATGTATGTATGTATGTTTTGGAAATAATAGTAGACAATCAAACGATGCAGACTATACGATGCAGACCTATATATATATGCCCAAAGACACTTCCTTGCAAAAGAGGAAGACGGGCAAGAGTGGTGGTAGCTCCGAGATAGGAGAACCGACTGATACGTCAAAGTGAACTAACACCAAATCACAAGCTGTATTCAGACGGCACACTGACCCATAGAAACCTATCTATAATTTCTAGAATTAACCTACTATTCTCGGGTAGCGCGATACAATAAAGCACCGTACAAGCTGGGTTCCCGCAATCCGCAAAACTCAAATTGGCCTAACTGGTTTGCGACTCCGTGTGTTAGGTTAAAAAAAACAACAAACCGGCTAAGCTACATCAATCAGTACTTGTGGCTTCCCAAACAATACCTACTAACTAAGCGACGCCACCACCTTCCGCTGGGGCAGGAAGATCGGCTTCTCTGCGCTTGCGCCCTTGCGTTGAAAACACGCAAGCGCAATTGCCTTCCTTAACGCCTGCGCACGACGTCTACGGGGAAACTCAGCCCGCGGTTTTTGAATTTGTACGAGCGGTCAATCTGGAGAGGGAGTGATCGTAGGAATAAAAACGGTGAGTTCCAAAATACGTAGGTAGCCTGTATTGTAACAACCGGCATTTCAGTAGGGAGTTCTGGAGGAAGAAGAGCCCACGCTTTCAGCCGACGCGGGTTACTTCTGTAGGATGAGTTGCAATATACGGTACTCCCTTTAGCATTTTCACACGTTCACGAGAAGAGAGTCGTGTGGTGTCTGAAAAACTAACGGGTTTATGTGGACATTGAAATCTTAGTCTTGGATGACCGTATGGACAGGATATGTTAAGCCAAAGTGTGCTTTGCCATGTTTGGCTGAATAAAGCAAAAGGGTTTCTAATATTTTATTGTATTATGAAATATATATACCGCCCATCTCACCAAGAGCCGACTCCAGGTGACTTATAATAATTAAAAGCCAACAGAATAAAACATTAAAATAACAAATATTAACATTAAAATTAATCTCAAAAATGACAAAGATAGAGAGAAAGAGAGCAAGGTATGCACTGGATGGAAGTAGAATCTTTTAGTCTGTTAGCCACCTCCAGCAATCCTACCGTAGCCTGGGCAAAATTGGTACAGCCAGATTTTCAAGCCCTTTCAGAATATTGTCAAAGATAACCCATAGTTAACAAGGCTACACAAGACTCCGGGGTCTTTCCTTTATAGAGCTGACTATGTTTCTGGACCCCCTAAGTGGGGGGGATCCTATTCCTTCCTAGCAACCCCATTAATATCATTAGAAGTAGTGAGGACAGAGGGCAGTGAAATGCCAAACATACAATCTAGGGCAGAGGTCCCCAACCCCTATCCATGGACTGATACCGGGCCGCTGCATGCCAGCAACTAGCCTTACAAACAAGCGAAGCCCCATCTGCGGGATGCAGGCAACAGGCAAAACCATGCCCCTTCCAGGCTGCGGAAAAACCTTTATCCGTGAAACTGGTCCCTGGTGTCCAACAAAAGATTGGGGACCTTGGCCTAGGGTAATACTTGCTTCAATCAGGGGCATTTGGGTGCGATTCACATTACATACTATACTATCTGGGAAGATTCTGGAAAAGATAATCAAACAACGAATCAACAAGCACCTAGAGGCAAACAAAGTCATTACTAAAAACCAACATGGGTTTGTCAAAAACAGATCATGCCAGACAAATCTTATTGCATTCTTTGACCACGTGACAAAATTAGTGGATCAGAGGAATGCTGTGAATATAATTTACTTGGACTTTAGTAAGGCATTTGATAAAGTAGATTACAACCTACTACTTGATAAGATAGAAAAATGTGGGTTAGACAGCATCACCACCAGATGGATCCCTAGCTGGCTGACTGGCTGTACTCAGCGTGTGGTCCTCAATAGAACCACATCTATATGGAGGGAAGTGTGTAGTGGGGTGCCCCAGGACTCTGCTCTGGGCCCAGTGCTCTTCAACATCTTCATGAACGATTTGGACAAGGGGATAAATAGGGAACTTATCAAATTTGCAAACGACACCAAGCTGGCAGGAATAGCCAACACTCCAGAAGACAGGCTTAAGATACAGGAGGATCTGGACAGACTTGAACACTGGGCACTATCTAACAAAATGAAATTCAATGGTGAAAAAAGTAAGGTTCTACATTTAGGCAAGAAAAACCAAATGTATAGGTATGGTATAGGGGGTACCTTGCTCAATAGTAGTAACTGTGAGAGGGACCTCGGAGTCCTAGTGGACAATCACTTAAATATGAGCCAGCAGTGTGCTGCAGCTGCCAGAAAGGCCAACACAGTGCTAGGCTGCATTAACAGAGGGATAGAATCAAGATCACGTGAAGTATTAATACCACTCTACAATGCCTTAGTACAGTGGTTCTCAACCTTTCCAATGCCGCGACCCCATAATACAGTTCCCCATGTTGTGGTGACCCCCAACCACTTATACATCACCGGGTGCCAGGGGCGTGGCCAAAGAAAAGGGGGAAAAAATGGCGGACAGCCTTGTTTGGCGACCCCCGTGAAATGGTCATTCGACCCCAAATGGGGTCCCGACCGACAGGTTGAGAACCACTGCCTTAGTAAGACTACACTTGGAATACTGCATCCAGTTTGGTCACCACGATGTAAAAAAGATGTTGAGACTCTAGAAAGAGTACAGAGAAGAGCAACAAAGATGATTAGGGGACTGGAGGCTAAAATATATAAGGAACAGTTGCTAGAATTGGGTATGTCTAGTTTAATGAAGAGAAGGACGAGGGGTGACATGATAGCAATGTTCCAATACCTCAGGGGCTGCCACAAAGAAGAGGGAGTCAAGCTACTGTCCAAAGCACCTGAAGGCAGGACAAGAACCAGTGGATGGAAAGTAACCAAAGAGAGAAGCAACCTAGAACTAAGGAGAAATTTCTTGACAGAACAATTAAGCAGTGGAACAACCTGCCTCCAGAAGCGGTGAATGCTCCAACACTGGAAGTTTTTAAGAAGAAACTGGACAGCCATTTGTCTGAAATGGTATAGGGTTTCCTGCTTGAGCAGGGGGTTGGACTAGATCAGAGGTCCCCAACCTTTTGGGCACCAGAAACTGGTTTCATGGAGAGAGATTTTTCCGCGGACTGGAGGATATGTGGCTTTGTGTGCTGCCTGTATCCCACGGATGGGGCTTTGCTTGTTTGTGCAGACCGGTTGCTGGCATGCCACATCCAGTACTAGTTCACGGACTGGGGGTTGGGGACCCCTGGACTAGATGACTTCCAAGGTCCCTTCCAACTTTATTGTTGTTATTATCCCCATTTTGACCAATGATGTTTTAATAGATTACCCCAAGGAAAGAATATATTTGCTTAAACTCTGGGACAGTAATTGAATACTATATCTTGATAGAATTTGAAAATTGTCTGCAAACCTTATTCTGTTGCATACATTGTCACAGGAATAGGAGCCAAAGAATTAAAAAGGTTATCTCCTTAACTTTTGTGGAAGAAGAACATAAAAGAAAATGCAAACCCAGAATCCTGTTGGAATTAATCCTGAATTAGCAAGCATAGTTCACAATTTACCATGGATAATAAAAATGAGTTAAGTGAAGCAGTTGTGAAAAGTAGAAAAAGGATTTATTATATGGGACAGAACAAGAAATGCTGAAAAAGTTTCCAGAGTTGCTTCAAACAGGATTCTACTGCTTTGGAAAGTTATATAATAGGCAGCATATCAACTTTGTGTTTCCTAACACACATGTTGGATATAATTGTCTGTCAAACAACTTAAAATCATAAAGCAGTGTGTCTTAGAATAGAAAGAAGACAACAACAGAAATTGTTATTCTTCTGAGTTATACAATAACAAAAAGCTTAATTGCTTATGGCACTTTATAATCCTGCATGGAGCAAACTTGGTCTAACTTTCCTTTGTGTGTGCACTGCTGCTCATTCAAATCCTCGATTAATCAATACCTGTTCACATATTTGGAGAGAGGAAAATAGGAGATTTTTGAAGAAATAGCTTCAAACATTAATCCCCACAATCCTCTCCCAGCTTATTAATATGCTGTGTTTTTCTCTTTATATCTTTAATGGCAATGGACTATCCAATTTGGTGTTTTATGTCTAGAGACAGAATATCTTCAAGGGTTCAGAGAAGATGCTATTTCTCCAGCATGAGGATGGATAATCCATAATCCAACCCATTCAGGATTGGGTTTCCTGAAGTCCCTTCTACCCAATAGACTAAGTCTGAGTTAGCCATGCCTCCCACTAGGCCGTGCTGCCCCAGTTCCGACTTAGTCTTATACCCAGCAGGACGCGTTGGTTCCCTCTCAGATCATATCAGGTTTTGCCTTTTCAATCCGTGTATTATCCTTTCTCTTTCTGGAGTAGTTGGAGTTTGTGCTATTTCTTTCATTCTGTCCTTTCTTTTTCAAAACTCTTTCTCTCCTCCCCCCCTTGCCTTCTGAGCTTTTGAGCTCACGAGGCATTTCTCCTGCAGCCAGCCGAGCGCGACTCCGCCAATCGTTATTTATGATCGGTGGACCTCCGGAGCCTCTTAAAATTGCAGCTGGTTGGCTGGGATTCAGCCAGAAGATTTACAGCTTCCCTGGTCCGCCGCACGATCGGTGACCGCTCTTTTGGGGCCGGCAACCGGCTGTGTAATTCAAGAGGCTTATTTCCTTTCTCGAGCAGTTTTTCCTCTTGCTAAAATCTCTGTGACATTTTTGTCTAGATTGTGCAGCTAAAGCTGCGATTGTCTGTTGATTGGCTGGGCTCTGGCCTGCTGGTTACCGGACTCCCTGGCTTGCCACGTGGCTGGCGGCCGCCATTTTGAATAGATTTTCCACGGGTTCTCTGTATCCAGAATTGTTCTCCTAGATCAGGGGTAGGCAATCTCGGCTCTTTTATGACTCATGGACTTCAATTCCCAGAATTCCTGAGCCAGCATAGCTGAGCATAGCTGACTCAGGAATTCTGGGAGTTGAAGTCCATGAGTCATAAAAGAGCCGAGGTTGCCTACCCCTGTCCTAGATGATTAGTTGTATTCTGGTGGTGTAACTGTGGGAGAGAATATAATTCTTTACAAGATCCAATCTAGTGTGCCTTCAGCCTACATTGTAGTGACTTCACATGTGGACGGTCGCCATTTTGGGAAACAGTCCGTTTGTGCTGCTGGCGCCCTGGGGCCTTCCCATTATTTATCCAGCCGCATCTAATTGACATTGCCTCTGGCAATATTTTTGGCCCCTTGGAAGTTTCACCACTTCCTCGCTTGAGATTGTTGCTCCACAATTAATACTCTAAAGGATTGCTGGCCTCCCGCAACAGCATTATCAGGAGCTTACACTGGTTTTACCAGTTTCCAGCAGTCATCAAATCAGGCCTTACACTGTAGTTCACAGTAGCATTCTCAGGAGAGAATGTTTTTACCAGTCTTGTTTCAACAGTCTCCAATCAAACCTTTCTTTGCTCCTATTTCTCCTTGAGATCCATCCTCAGTCCTGTACTGAAGGATCTCCATCGTAATGGCAAAAGATAAACAACCTCAGGTTGTCCTGTCTCCTACCAGCTCTCCAAGCAAAAAGAAATGTAAATCCTCCAAATTGGAGGCAGCAGGGAAGCTGAGAGCAAGGGACAAAACTTTGGCTAGCAAAGCTCTTCCAAAGCAGCTGAAAAGGAAGCCATCAGGAGACATTTGGCCCTAGAGAGGCAATTCTCAAAGGCCCAGAGGGAGACTCCGAGGGAGGTTCCCCCAGTTTCCACTACCACGTCTGAGGGCGCCCTGTTTGGCCCACAACTAACCACGGCTGTTCAGGTCCACAGACCATTTTCCCCTGATGTGGAGGCCCAGCAGAGGTCCATCAGTCCTATGATTCCAGATCCAAGTGTCAGCTGGGCAGCCCCACCACCCAGTACTCAACCAGGGCCCTCTGTCACATTCACACCCACTGCAGCTGGTCTCCGTCCCAAAATTCCTCAAACTGTCTGGCCAGAACAGCTTCAATCAATGCTCACTCAGGTCTTGGCACAGAGTATTGCCTCCTTACAGAGGCCTAAGCCTTTATCCTCCACCCAGTCTTATTCTGAGCCTCTGGAATATGCCTACTCTACCGCCTCTTAGCATTCATCTCCGGACAGAGGGTCATATTCAGATCTTGAGGACACATGGGATCCGCCTTTGCCGGAGGATGAAGAAACGCATCAGGAACCCACTCCCTTCGTGGGATTATTTGATCGCACATTGTTCAAGTCCATTCTAGCTAAGGACTCTGCAGCATCTAAGGTTGCGCCCAAGCAAGAACCACAATCTACCCCTTCCACCAGTCATTCACCTGACCCACTGTTTCCTGAGCCTACCGTGACCCAAAAACATATACTGTGTCCCTTTTTTTCATCCATACGGTAAAGAAGCAATGGGCTAGTCTTAGTGCTCCCCCTGCTCCAGGGGCCACTGATAAAAAACTTTTCAATGTGGCCCCGTCACTGTTGCATTTATTAGAGTTACCGGCGGTAGACACATCATTGACCCCTATCTTCTCTCCCTCCACCATACCAGGTGATATGGCAGAGGCATTGAAGCCGGAGGAAAGGAAATCGGAATTTTCTTTGCGCAGGTCACATCAGGCATCCGGATGGGCAGTGAAGGCTTCCACTTCAGCGTCCTTCTTTTCCAGGTCTTCTATCATTTGGCTTTGGAAGCTTCAAGCCATGATTCGCCAGGAACAGGTGCGGGCCCACCAAACCTTGGGTAAGTTATTTGCTAAGGCAGAGTACATGGCGGATGCCACCTTCACGCAGCCAGATTTTTGGCCAGGTCAATTGCCGCAAACGTATCAACTCGCAGGTTGCTCTGGCTGAAACAATGGCGTGCGGACATAAAGTCCAAATGGCGTTTGGCCACTGCACCTTACACTGGGGGTCATCTATTTGGGGAAGTCTCGATCCCTATTTGGTGGAGAATCGGGACAAGAAGAAGGTGTTAGTACACCAGGCTAGACGGGCGGACAGGAAAGCTACTCCGTATTATCGGAAGCAAACCTTTCGCGCTACTTTAGGGATGGAGTGGTCACAACCACCCCGCTCTTTCCCCCCCCCCCAGAGGCGAGCATCAATCGAACCGCTTTGGGGCCAGGCCCAGGCAGCAGGTTCAATCAAAGCGGCCCTTTCGAGGCGCGGGTTCCGTCCCTTTAGGAGGAATAAATGACTCCAGGGAGGGACACCCCCCATAGGTGGCAGGCTTTCCCTCTTCATTCACAGCTGGGAAGCCACCACCACAGATATTTGGATTTTATCCACCATAGAACACGGTCTGTCATTGGAGTTCCTATCCAGACCACCAGATCGGTTCACCCAGTGCCCAGTTTCCTTAAACCCAACCAAGAGGAGCCTCATGAACAAGGCGATAACTCATCTTTTGGACATCAAGGCCGTAGAGCCAGTCCCGACCGAACAGATAGGGAAAGGTTTTTACTCCATCCTCTTTGTAGTGCCGAAGGCCTCGGGAGGATGGAGAGCCATTCTTGATCTAAAAAGGCTAAATACTTACCTACTGTACAAAAAGTTCAAGATGCAGATTCTACAATCCATCCCGGCCAGCATCAGGAGGCATAACTTCCTGACATCTATAGACCTCACAGAGGCGTACCTATACGTACCAATCCTTCTCCAACATTGCAGGTTTCTCAGATTTTGTTACAACTCCTGTCATTATCAGTACGGAGCTCTACCATTTGGTCTGTCATCCGCTTCGAGGGTGTTCACAAAGATCTTGACGGTTCTGGCCGCACACCTGAGACTGGTTCCAATACGGATCCAGTGCTATCTGGACGACATTCTCATACAGTCTTTGTCAGTTCAGACAGCAAGTGGACTTCCCAGACGATAGCTGGAGGTGCGCATTTCAAGGAACCGGCATGACTCACTCTCACCACCGATGCCAGCCTCTTTGGCTGGGGGGCTCATCTCCAATCCCAGTTGGCTCAGGGACGGTGGTCCCCACGAGACCTGAAGCACAGCATAAACTGGCTGGAGCTCAGAGCCATACATCTAGCTTTACGGCACTTCAGACACAGGGTGAAGGGGCAGCACGTTCTAGTCCTCACGGACAACATAGCAGCAAAAGCCCACGTGAACTGGCAGGGAGGCACCCGGTCCCAGTCGCTCATGACAGAGGCCAGGCTACTATGCTCCTGGGCAGAGACCAACCTCTCTTCCATCAAGGCAGCTTCCATTTCCGGGGAGACAAACAGACAGGCGGATGCCTTGAGCAGGGTAACGATAGACCACTCAGAGTGGCGTCTGCTTCCAGTTTTATTTGCAGAGATAGCGGAGAGGTACGGTCACCCAGCTCTGGACCTGTTCGCGTCTCCGGAGAATTCACAACTCCCATGGTTCTTCTCCCGTTTCCCATCTCCAGAGGCGGAAGGAGTGGACGCACTTTGCAGTCCTTGGCCCGGGGGTCTACTATACGCCTTTCCCCCTCTTCCGCTAATGCCGGCGGTAATACGCATAATATTGCAGGAGAGGGCGGAGGTCATCCTCATTGCTCCATACTGGCCGGGGCGTCCGTCGTTTGCCAACCTCGTGAGTCTTTCTATCTCGTCCCCGTGGAGGATCCCTCCGGATCGCATTGTGCTCAGCCAGGGGGCTCTTCAACACCCAGATCCGCAATGGCTCCAGCTAGCCGCCTGGCACTTGAGCAGCAACGCCTGACTCAGCTGTCTTACCCACTGAGGGTGATCACCATGATTGAGGCCTCCGGGTGCCAGTCTACCAACAGAATTTATGATTCTACTTGGAGGAATTTTTCCGCCTGGTGTAACAGGAATAATATTGGCATGTCATTGGTCACTGTCCCAAACATTTTGGGATATTTGCTGGAGAGGCTTGACAAAGGTCTTTCGCCAAATACCATCAAGAGACAAGTAGTGGCTCTAGCTACGATGCTGACGATTCTTCCTCTCTAGCACATCACCCGGTGATTCACTCCTTCATCAAGGGGGCGACCAACACAAAGCCATCCACGGTCCATCGATACCCCTCGTGGGATCTTTCATGTGTTTTATAGGCTCTTACCAAGTCACCATTCGAGCCACTTAAGTCTTGTGAAATGATTTTTTTGTCAATGAAAGTAGCTTTTTTTGGTGGCAGTAACATCAGCCAGATGCATTTCTGAGCTGGCAGCACTCTCAGGGAGGACCTGTGTGTTTTTCGTGGCGACTGTGTAATTCTTAGAATGGACCCAATGTTCATTCCTAAGGTGAACTCCTTGTTCCATCGATCACAAGAACTCATACTACTGAGTTTTTGTCCCCGTCCAACTCATGACCTGGAGCGCCAGTGGCACACCTTGGATGTGCGCAGGGCGTTGAGATGATATATCAAGCAGGCTTCTACCTTCCGCAAATCAGAGACGCTTTTCATTTCCTTCCAGCCCTCTTCCTTGGGGCAGGTCTCTTCGACAACCATTGGTAGGTGGATGAAGGCCTGTATAGCCAAGGTTTACCAATCCCAGTCCTTGTCCATTCCTCGCCATACCGCTGCTCATTCCACCCGCAGTGCGGCAACATGAGCGGCTTGGGCGACTCAAGCGCCCATTGGGGAGATTTGTAGGGCAGTGACTTGGTCGTCTCCCTCCCCGTTTATTAGACATTACAAGATCAATCAGTTTGCCTCCGCTGATGCCTCTTTTGGCTGGAAGGTGCTACAATGTATGGTGCCGTCCGGAGGGACACATGCCTGACTGTTTCCCCCCCATAGGGACAGTGTAGGCTTTGGTATGTCCCAATCCGTGGATTATCCATCCTCATGCTGGAGAAGAGGCGTTGTCTTACTTGAACGCCTTTTCTCAGCATGAGGATGGATAATCCACTTCCTTCCCTTTGGTGCCTGTCAGGTCCTGTGTCGGGTAGGGGAACCAACGCGTCAGACTTTGTCTGCTGCTTCGCCTTCATCGGAACTGGGGCAGCACGGCCCAGTGGGAGGCGTGGCTAACTCTCAGACTTAGTCTATTGGGTAGAAGGGACTTCAGGAAACCTAATCCGTGGATTATCCATCATCATGCTGAGAAAAGACAACGCCACTTCTATCTAGATTAATTTTGAGACTATTTGGGCAAATGTCCAAAGCCTAAAATCTTTTCTGCACAACAGGAATCTAGGTTGTTAAAATTTCATACCATTCATGTTGCAATCTAAAATTGTCCCCCAAGTATCAGTTAAAATGTCATTGGCTACAAGTTTAGTTTAAATTTTACACCTTCAGTTGAGAATGTTTGATTTTATTGGGAATTTTATTTTTTATGCCTTTTAGTCAGTCTTGACTCCTGGTGACTACATGGACAAGTCCATGCGGCTTTTTTCTGATTTGCCATTCTTAAGACTGAGAATAATTGCTACAAAATAACCCAAGCTATCTAAGACAGGACTTGAACTGCAACTCATAATTTCTAGCTCAATATCTTTAGCTTTGCTTCTATCTGGCTCTCATGCTTTAAGTGAGCTAATATTACTATTATTAGATTTTTATGTCACCTTTTTATATATAACTGAAGGCAGAGTACATTCTTGCCTACTTTTTTTGCTAATACAGCTCTATGTCGTTGTTAGATAGGTTGATTTTTATCTAAAGGACTAGAATTTTATTCTAATATCCAGTTCTGCTGTATGTGTTTGCTCAGAAGAAAGTGCCATTGATTTCAGCAAGATCAAATGAAAGGTGTAAAATCCTACTTTTTCAATATACCATTCATTTCTGAGCATAGCATACGTGTTGATGATAAAAAAGTATATTTTCAAAATATAGTGAATATATGCAAAGCGTTGATTTTCAATTTTTTGCATAAATACATCTATTGGAAAAGCACTAGACATTATTATGTGTAATTAAAGTGGATTGGCCACTAGGAGGTATAGATGCTCTGCAATAAGCAGACTGAATAGTTATTATATAAAGGGAGAATAAAGTTCAGCAGTTTTGAAGTGTTGGTAAAAAGATTGGTGCTATGTCTGTATATTTTTCTGGCGTGGACACATAAATATTTTCTGCCCTGACCTTTTAAAACTCTGTGGTTGTAAAGCAAACACCACAGATGCTAAGCAACCAGTCATAAAATGAAGACTACCTGTAAGTATCTATTTTTACATCATTTAGTAAGCTATTAAAATCTTTTATTGGACATAAAGTGGTAAAACACAAGTTGAAGCCATTGCATGAGTATGAACTTTATATGAGAATTTTAGTTCTGGTTACTGGTCTTTATAAATAAAAATATAACAATTATCTTATGTACTGTTGCAATGAAGTAGAGTAACCTCATCTTTTAATGGGTCCTTTGGAGCTAAATGTCCAGGAAAAATTAATGAATTTGTATTGTATTCCAGAAAATTATATGTTGCTGAGCAGTTTCTAAAGATGAAAGTATGTTGTATCAGCAGCTATCATGGGAATATGTCCTAATGTAAAGTAAATGCTGTTGATCATTGCTGGAGCTTTACAACAAATTTTCAATGCATTGGCACAAAGGAAGCGTGGCACTTGGTCATTTGAGGCACATGCTTTTTCCAAATGTTCAACATAGCTCCTTCTAGGGCAGTGATGGCAAACCTATGGCACGGGTGCCAGAGGCGGCACTCAGAGCCCTCTCTGTGTGCACGTAAGCCGTCGCCCCAGTCCTAGGCCTTCACCTGGGTTTTATAAAATCTTTTCTCTTTAGGCCTCTGCCGCCATGTGCAAAAAAATAAGAAGGTTCAATTAGTCAATTTGAACTTCTCGCAGGGAAAAAAAGATTTTGCAATTGATTGATTGAACTTTTTAGTCCCACCCAGTCTGCCGTTACCACCACAGCCATGCCCACCCAATGGGCCACACCCAGCCAATGGGCCACACCACCCGTACCACCCGGCACCTGATGATGCATAAGTGGGTTTTGGGTTGCAGTTTGGGCACTCGGTCTCTAAAAGTTTCGCCATCACTGTTCTAGGGTTTTGCAAATGAAGAGTTGTTTTATTTTGCTGGAAAAGTTATCTGTTGGGTCCAGCATATGTACATAAGTGATATAGGAAATATTTTATTATTATGTTATGATATTTTATGATTAGGTTCATAATTTATCACCTTGCTTGCATGTACACTGAGAGCTTATGCACCAGAGACAAATTCCTTGTGTGTCCAATCACACTTGGTCAATAAAGAATTCTATTCTATTCTAAAAAAGACTGGAAACAGCTGGACCAGATTTTTCAGAGGGCATGGTTGTTTGGGGGTGGATGCTTTTCTTGTACCACATGGTTTGAGAAGTGTCCTTCAGATCCTTTGCAAGCTCTAATAATAATTTACAATACTGCATAATTCTAAGCTTATCTAGTTAGAAATATATTCCAATGAATTAGATGACATTTAGAGACCATAGGGTGAGGACTATTCAGTAACTTGAATTATCCTTTGCCTTTAAAGCTGTTCATTATTATGCAATAACATGCAGTAAGGAAATAAAATTAAATTCTGTGGGACAACATAAAGATAGGATTGGGGAGAAAAAACATTTTTAGATCCAGTATGAGAATGATGAGTACAATGATTATCTTAGAAGTAAGATACAAAATTCAAATATCTCATAAATGCAACAGAAAATATTGCTTATTTATAAAGAAGAAACTTTTGGGGTATTTTAAGGAACAAGGGTTCAGACAGAAGCAAGCTCCGCTATTTGATGGGACTTGATTCCAGTGAAATATACACAGGATTGACAAAAGATTGTGAATGGATATAATAAAATGCATAAAAAGGTTAACATAAAAAAGGTTAACATGCAGGTTGATAAGCCAACTTGTATATAGCATACATTTTTAAAAATCTGTTACCAATTTTTAAAATATGAATGTCCTGTTCCTGCATGTTTTTCCACAGCAAGAATTAGTAATACCGGTGTTTCCGACGATGGAGGAGGGAACACAGTTTCCTAAAGGTATTTTGCACTTATTTTTTATGAGAACCCTGAAAATGAGTGACTAAGACATATTTGTAATGCAGTTGTTTTGAATTATGAATCTTGCCTTTGACTCTGTATTCACTTGGGGTAGGAAATGGAAATTACTCTTGTCTCTTGATTATCTTTATCTCAGACAGAACTTGGGCAGTGATCAACAAAAGAAAATGTTTGTCATGTTGATTCCTTTTTTCCTTATTTATACTTGCATATTTTATGAATTTTTCCTTTCCATTTCAATGTTTTCCAGCTGTTTGCTGAACTATAATTCAAGTCCAGATACTTACAGAGCTCAGAATGTGGGATGGGATGGACATATATAAACAATTTTATAAATGTAAGCAACTTACACATAGGCTGGACAATAAAAAGAAAATACTCATTCAAATATATTGTTATTTAAAAATCTCAGGGTTCTTTGCATCAAATAACTACATAAAATGAAAATGTGTAATCATACATAGCAAAAGAAATGTTTAAAACATTTCAAACTTAAAATCAAATGATAGAAGATAATGTTAATTTTGTAAAAATATTTTAACAACAACAATAATAATTAAAAACAACACCCAGGGATCTTGGAGGTCTTCTAGTCCTACGTGCTCAGGCAGGAAACCCTGTAGTATTTCAGAAAAATAGTTGTCCAGTCTCTTCTTAAAAGCTTCCAGTGTTGGAGGCAGGTTGTTCCACTGATTAATTGTTCTAACTGTCATAAAATTTCTCCTTAGTTCTAGGTTGCTTGACTAGTTTCCATCCATTGCTTCTTGTCACTACCTTCAGGTCTTTTGGAGAATAGCTTGACTCCCTCTTCTTTGTGGCAACCCTTGAGATATTGGAACACTGCTATCATGTCACCCCTAGTCCTTCTCTTCATTAAACTAGACATACCCAATTCCAGCAATTGTTCTTTATGTTTTAGCCTCCAGTCCACTGATCATCTTTGCTGCTCTTCTCTGTACTCTTTCTTGCATCTCAACATTTTTTTTATATTGTGGTGACCAAAACTGGATGCAGTGTTCCAAGTGCATTCTTACCAAGTGGTCTTACCAAGGCGTTGTGGTATTAACATTTCACGTGATCTTGATTCTATCCCTCTGTTAATCCTGTATCTTAAGCCTATCTTCTGGAGTGTTGGCTATTCCTGCCAACTTGGTGCTGTCTGCAAATTTGATGAGTTCCCCATCTATCCCCTCATCCAAATCATCCATGGAATCCTTCCCAAGCTCTCTCTAAGTTTATTGAAATTAGCTCTCTTAAAGTCCAAGACTCTAGTTTGAACTATGTTCTATTGCTTGTGTTTTCATAATGTTGAATTCCAATATTGCATGATCGCCTCCCCCCCCCCCCCGATTCCTATAGCTTCAACACCTATCATTTCATCTCTGCTCGTGAGAATTAAGTCCACTATGGCTGATCCCCTAGTTCCCTTCTCTACCTTTTGGGAGACAAAGTTTTCTGCTAGATTTGTCAAGAATCTGTTTGATCTTCTACTTGGTGCTGAGTTTGTCTCCCAGTTGATGTCAGGGTAATTAAAGTCCCCCATTACTATTATGATGTGCTTCCTACATACCTTAGTTAACTGACTAGCAACAAGTTTATTTTCTCTGGGTTTTGTGGCTTATCGTATAAACCTATGAAAATGTCATTTGTTTCCCCTTTTATATTGACCCAATGCATTCAAGATAGTTTCCATCATTATTGAGCTCTATTTCTGTTGGGATGTAGTTATTTCTTATATATAGTGCAACTCCACTTCCTCTTTTATTTGGTCTATTCTTTTAAACAATTTAAATCCCTCTAGCTGTATGTTCCATTTGTGGGTTCATCCCACCAAATTTGACAGAACAAGTAAATCCACAGGTCAGCAACCTGCTGCTCCGGAGCCGCATGTGGCTCTGAGTTTTCCCCTGTGGCTCCCAGCCTCCTCTGCCATTTACAGAGAGAGGCACTTGCACCTCTCTCTCTCTCTCTCTCTCTCTCTCTCTCTCTCTCTCTCTCTCTCTCTCTCTCTCTCTCTCCTCTCTCTCTCTCTCTCTCTCTCTCTCTCTCTCTCTCTCTCTGTGTGTGTGTGTGTATAAAAGAAAGTAGACTCATGGTGTTCTCCAACAAGCTGAAAAACTTTTTGGGCGGGGCTCCTCCCTTTGCTGCGTCTCTGCAGGAAGCAGGAAGGGCAGGAGAGAGCTAGCTAGCCCACCTACGCGGACTCAGGAATTCTGGGAGTTGAAGTCCATGAGTCATAAAAGAGCTGAGGTTGTCTACCCCTGAGCTTGTTGGAGAACAGCTTGAAGCCAACTTGCCAGGTGAGCAGAAGATCGGAGACAGGGAGAGAGGGGGGGGGGAGAGAAAGAGGGAGAGAAAGAGAGGAAAGAGAGAGAAAGAAAGAAAGAAAGAAAGAGAGTGGGGGAAGAGGACTGGCAGATCAAGGGCAGAAAGAGAGAGGGAGGGAGAGAGAGACTTAGAGACCCTTTTGACATCTAAAATGAAGATAACACTGCATATATCCTTTTTTACCTTTATGAGATATATATATCTCATAAACTAACAAAACTTAAGAGTTTTGTGTTATTTTTATTCTTTGGAGACCAAAAAAGAAATCATTTAACTTTCAAACATATTAACTAGCCAAGACCTTTTCTTAGTAATCCACAATTATCGAAGTTTTCATTAATCATAGATAATTTTTTGAAGCTTTTTATTTTATCACCACATAGGAAATAAATCAGAAATATAACTGTATACCCAATATGATTATAAAACTATTACTATTGTAGCAAAAATCCATTTAATAGTAATTTTCCATGCAGAAAATAATTATTTCAATCTTCTTCTTCTTGTGTCATATCCGTTATCTGACGTTGGCGATTGTATTGGCGATCTTGTTTTTCTCAGCAGCCGCACGAAAAAGTGCTGCTGAGTTTTGTCCAAACCAATCCCTTAGATTTTGAAGCCACGATGTTCTTCTTCTGCCTGGACCTCGTTTGCCTTCAATCTTTCCCTGGATGATTAAATGGAGTATGCCGTATTTTTCTGGGTGTCGCGTCACATGTCCGAAATATTCTAATTTTCGTTTTTTAATTGTTTTGATGATTTCCCTTGGCTTTCCAAGGCGGCTTATCACCTCCTCATTTCTGATCTTTCAATGCTGCTACTCCCTTTGTCAAAGTTAGTTTTTAAATGACAAATATTGAATTGCATGATCTTGCTTAACAAGGAAATAAAATCTGTACATTTATTTATTTTGTAATGTTTTTTTTAAAAAAATAAGATCTCCTGGAGGGTATCTGCAAGAATGTACCAAGATTTTTTGAGATAGACACCATGTAACTGCAACTGACAGGTATAGAAGAACCCCACAAGGTTATAATTATTTCTGGGCTCTTATTTAGCAGGCAAAGAAAAGAACCTGAAATAGATGAAATATTAAATGTATTCAATATGTAAGGGTCAGTTAGGTCTGTTATTTGAGATGCATATTGAGAAGCTTGTATGAATGTCTAAGCAAACTATTGAACTTTAAATCAGAAAACTTAAAACTGGATGCCAGATGGAACTATAATTCCTTAATTAAAATCACATGGAAATATTTTAGATTTTGTTTTATGTCATTCTACCCTTTGTTGGTTGTCTTCTTGGTGGAATTATACTTCAATAAGTCTGATATAAAAATCAGTTTTATTGAACAACTAACCCTAAGATTTTGAGAATCAGTCCAGAATTTTGTCACATTGGTTCAATTTTTTTTTTGTTGTAATTTCTCTACTGTTTATAAAGGAAATATTTTACTGAGAAGATACTGCATGTATCTCATTTGAATTGTATAATACAAGTATGTGTTATAGAGTACAGCAGTCTAACCAAATTTAGGTGGAGGTTTTTCAGCATTTCTTATTTTTTGCAGTTCAAACAAAACCTTCAAAAAGAAAAAAAATAAAAAAAGAAGTGAAATATCAACGACTCCCAAAGAGCATTAAAAAGAGTCTAAAATCCAACATCCATTGGACAATGATGTAAGTAGTAATTTTTTCTCCATATATCTCCTCCCATTTGGGATGTTTCACCTATATTAATAAATCCAGTTGTCATCAATAATGATAACTTTGAATTAAGATAATTTGGGGAATGAAAAATGATATTGATTTTGATTACTAGCTGGATTTTTGCCAATTTGAATGATTGTTTAATTGCACAATAATTTTGATTGCACTGATTTCACCCAAATGGACACATCTGGAATAACGAACAATTTCTTCACTTGCAGAGTAATTTCAGTTGCACAGTGTGCATGTAAACAGATACTTCTGTGATGAAAAGAAATTGATATCGATTGCTAGCTGAATTTTTGCACAATAGTTTTGATTGCACTAATTGTATATAAACGAACACATCTGATGTTATATAACATCATCCCATTATATAAATGCTAACAATTTCACAGGAAATGTTCAAAAAGTGAAAGCAAGGTACAAATCAAACCTGTTTACACTGAGGATATCTTGTTGTGCAAATGATTTTGTGTCTAGTATTAACACTTTTTCCAAGCAAGGACATAAAAATATCACATAATGTGTATATGGGTGAAAAATGTTAATATATCATCTCTCTTTACAGATCTGTTCTCTATGAAGTTACAGAAGATTACAATGAAAATGAAAAGCTCTTGAATATCCTCAAGGAAAGGTGATATTTAAAATAAGTTGTCTGCTGTTAGCAGTGTAATACCATTGCTTTTGCATTAATCAGCTGCACCTTGGCTAGCTGGGTGTGGTTGCAGTTCAACTAGGGTCTCTTTTTCTAGACCAGGAGTCAGATACTGAAATGTACTGCCATGAAATTGAGAGACAGCTAGTCTTCAGATTACGACAGCAACGGGGGCCAGGGTTGCCTTCACTAAGCAATGTGGTGGGAAAGTACATCACATGACTTCATTGCCAGGGCTTTTCAACCCGTGGTACCCATACTACCAGTGGTACACGAGCACCTGGCTGGTGGTACGCGAGCCCTAGTTAATTGGAGTGGGGGAGGGAACCAATTAAAATGGAGCCACACAGACCTGGAGGAGATCAGCTGGAGCTGCAGAGCTTGCCAGAATCCCCAGGATCTGTGGCGACATACTAATTGGAGCTTCTGGTGCGCTCGGAAGAGATGAGGAGGGCGGAGAGAAGAAAAGGTATAAAAGGGGCAGACTGGCCTGTTTTCGGAGGAACAGCGAGCGAGGAAGGGTGAGTGAGCAAGTGGCGTGTTTGGGGGGGGGAAGGGCTAGCAAGTGAACGGCTCCTGCCCAGCTTGCTTGCGGAAAACAAAGGGACAAAGAGGGAAGGAAGGAAAGGACAATGAAAGGGAGGGAGAGAAGGAGGAAGGGACAAAGGAAGGGAAGGAAGGCACCCACCCCAGTCCCACCCCCCTCCACCAGAGACCCACAGATTCCCCCCCACAGGCACCCCACAACTTGAGTGATGAGCTGACCATGCCCCCCCAGCCATTGACCACATAACCTGGGACACTGAACATAAGTATGAATCAGTTGCTAAGCATCCAAATGTAAATCATATGACCCTGGGGATGCTGCAACAGTCATAAGAGTGAAAAATGGTCATAAGTCACTTTTTTCAGTGCCATTGTAACTTTGAACAGTCAGTAAGCAAATTGTTGTAAGTCGAGGACTACCTGTACTTTATCATTTTTTTCCTTTTTTTTTTTCCTCAAGTTTTTGACACCTTGTTGGGCAACTGATGGTACTCGGATATTGCCTTATCCTAAAAGTGGTACAATGGGTGAAAAGGATGAAAAGCCCTGGCTTAGACAATCCTGAAAGTCATGATTGCCATTTTAATCCCAAGATATGCAGGTCATTAACCAGAAAGTGATGGGTGTCCCAGATAAGGAGCATGGGATAGGCCCTGGGAGGCGGCATAAGAACATGCAGGAATGGGGGAGGGCTTGGAAGGCTAGGTACAACATGCAAGTTTGGAGATCGAGGTGCTGCAGTGCAGGAAGGTTGGAGAGTAGATGGAACAATTTGTGACCTTCCTGTCAGCTTCCTCATTGACATTGCTTGTGAGAAGCCAGCAGGAAGGGTTGTAAGTCTCCATAATGTGACCATGTGGGTTGCACATTATAAATGTAAGTTGGTTGCCAAGTACCTGAATCTCAATCACATGACTAGATGGGAGCTATGACATCTGGAACATTAAGGATTAGTTGTAAATATAACTAGTAAGTTCTAAGGTTCAGGGCCATTGCAATTTCAAACGGTCACTGTATAAGTGGTCAATAAGTGAAGACTACCTATATACATCAAACGATAGTATAATAGTGAGAAAGGGGTTTCTTTCCTTATGTAATTAATAGCCAAGAAACGGTGTTTCTGAAACTCCTCAGAATTAGGACTTCACGTGTTATTTATACAGTGCTTCTTCTAATGTAGTCTGCAACTGTATTAGCTATTTTGGAGCAACTATACCATATGGTGGGTCACGTTTAGCTTGTCACTGACAGCACCTAATGGCATTAGGCTTTTTAGAAATCATTTCTTATTTTTTTCTCCTTTTTTAAGGAAAAAAACACATTAGAATGGCATTGGTTTGTTTCTTTCCTGAATTTTAATATTTCTGCCCATAGAGTCAGAATTATTGCCCAATTAGAACCTAATAAAATACATTCACCTTATTAAAAGATGAAATGATAAAGAAAAAGAGCATATTTATCTGAGTTGTATGTTAGTGCACGTTAGTGCATGTGTGTGTTGAAATGACATTCTAGTATGCAGCTGTTCTCTTCTGCACCTCTACTTCCTTTTGCAGATGTAGGAAAATATGGTTTACAGGTTAGTCTCAAGTTGCAACCAGAATTTCTGTTGCTAAGCAAGGCAGTTGTTAAGTGAATCATGCCAGAAATTAACCAAATCACTGCAGTTTCTAAGTGAATCATATGGTTATTAAGCAAATCCAGCATCCCCCATTGATTTTGCTTGTTGGAAGCTAGCTGGGAAGGTTGCAAGTGGGGGGGGGTCACATGACCTGGGACGCTGCAACCATTATAAATAAATGCTGGTTGCCAAGCGCCTGAATTTAGAGCATGTGACTGGGCATACTTTAAAGTGTGAGGTTGTACGCATGAGGACTTGTAAGTTACTTTTTCCAGTGTTGTAATTTCAAACCCATGCTAAACAAATGGTTATAAGATAAGAACTAGCAGCACCAACAATCTATAAACCTTGCTCAGTAACTATAATGGTATGTGTGAATGCCCTTGGATGATTCACAGGGTGAAGAGCCACTGCCAGGGGAAATTGGATAAGAGGCAATTTAATCCATGGAAGGAATATGGTCATACACTTCAGAAGGGACCTTTCCTAGTTTCTTGAACTGTAAAGGGGGAAAATATACTTTCAGACATGCAAAATTCTTTTAAAGTAACCTTACAATAAAGAAAAATTAATTCATCTGGACATTTTTCCTGTTTGAATTATTTGTAAACTTCTAAGCATATGTGAGAAAGAATATTATAAACTGCCCAAAGAGGCTTTTTGTGAGAAAGATGGATATTTAAATTTGCTAAGTTACAGAGCTTGCTGAATTTTATGCAAATTGCTTCAGCAGGCTAAATAACCTTTTCTATTTCTATATAATACAATATGTATTAAAGCATCCACCCCACTATTTCTTTGATATTCTTCTGTGATGCCAATATGTGTGGCTTTACTTTTTTTAAAAATATTTCTTTCATTAAATAGTACCACTCTTAGTTATAAGAATATTCTAAACCTTGCAAGATCCATATAGGCATTTTGAGGGGAAAACGACATATGTTATCTTAAGCCACTGTGTGGTTTCTTTAGTTTTGCTTTAAGTAGATGTTTGAACCAAATAACTGTGGTTTATAACTTAGGGTTACATTGCTTTACCCTAGTAGAATATAGCTATATTACTAAGACAAAGGCCTAAGTTATGTGTTGAGTTCAAACATTTAACTGTGCATTACCACTATCCAGATAAAGACATGTTGCATTAAATGATATATAGGTAGTCCTCGACTTACAACTGTAATTTAGCCTGGTAATTATGGTTATAAGTTGTAACAGTCAGATCATCATATGACTACCCCGATTTTTCCAGCAGTCATTAGACAAACACTGTGGCAGGTAAGCAAATTCATTGTTTGCTAGGGGTTTTGCGGAAATACCTGGTTTTTTTTTTTTTTTTTGGCAAAAAAAAGTAAATTGCAGTTACGTGACTGAGGGAGGCTACAAATGGCCACAAATGGGGCTAGTCGTTTGTGCATGCACAAACAGGCCACTAGCCACTGTGGGGTGTGTGCAGCCCTTCGCGCATGCACATGGCACCAGCACATGCTGCATGTGCGAATGGGGCTGCTAGTGCCGTGCCAGTGTGCATGGCCCTGTGCGCATGTGCGCACCAATTTTGAAGCTGCTCTCCTTCCCTCCAGTCTGCGAGCCTGGAAAGGTTGGAGACCTCTGAACTATATAGACAGATTTGAACTTTAACAGTTTTCTCAATTATGGGCCAAGTGCTTGGTACATTTCTTTTGTTGATGCCAAAGATCAGTGCAGAGATGGTGGGGAGCAAATACATTACAAATTTAAGAACTTCATTAATCTTCAACAGGGAAACATTTTTAGCAGACTAACTAGTATCAAATTATTTCTAACTGGTTTGATATGTTCATTGCATAATTTTGTATATTACAGATAATCGTCATAGTATTAGCATAACATGATAATGTTATTTAATACTTTACTGAAGGTTTCTAAAATGCATTGAAACTTTGGAAGTTCCTGTGGATGAGCTGAATTGTCTGACCAGAGTGCAAAAGATTTTAAAAGAAGAAGAGAAAAAGTATATTTTAATGGAAGAAGAATTGGAGTATCTGGAGGTAAATAACGAAGAAAGGATGGAGCTTAAGAATTTATATAGTAACATTGTGTGAATAAATAATTAATATGATATACTAAACAATGTTCTACGAATGAAATTTTCCCATGGCTGTATTAGAATGTTGCTACAACATCAATTAACAATCTTGCCTGACTTTGTTTATTATGTCCATCCATATATTATTACTACTCCAAGCATCTTTTAACATTTCACAATAAATCTATGAATTTTTCATACATTCCAAAATACTCTGATGCTTATAAAAAGGAGTATCACATTATTGTTCCCCCTTTTAACCTATTTTTTATTTTTCTTTAAGAAGAATTATGAAATAAATCAGTTGCTGCTAATCAACCATTATACTATTGTTGCAATATATAAATATGCAGATTAGCTCTGATTATCACTTGTGGTTTGATTCAAATAATTAGCTTTATTCAAATTTGCATTTTGAATGGGCAAATCAATTAATTTTTTTGACTTATGCTACTATGCATAAAGTCCATTGATGGATTCAGTTCCAGTCCAACTGATTCAGCAATGTTGACAATTCAGACTTGGGTTCATGGTATTCTCCAGAAACTTGACAGCTGTTAAAGGGAAGTTTTTTAATTGAATTAGAAGTGTTACACAGCCAATCAAGCTTCTGGTGGGGACTAACAGTGGGCTGATACTCTTCAAAGGTGCAGAGAACAACTACAGTTTGAAACACTGGAGGTGGATTTTGATTGATGGTTTCTTCTGAATAAATTACAACACAATGGAAAAAATTTCGCAGTGGGCTTGGGAGTTGAGCCTCTAGAGTTCTAGGGTTCCTTCTGTGCTCTTATTTGCAAGGGCGCCAACATGGACGTTAAGCTTTGTCTTCCCCACCTTTTAATCACCTTGAGAAATAATATACAGATGAAGAGAGATTTCCTCTGCCAAACAAAAACAAGAGAGACTTTGTTTAAAAAAAATGTAAAAGGGTTATTAATTAAATTACAAACCAATATTATTGAATGATGACTACAAATTGTTTACAACAATTTTAGCTGAAAGACAGATAATTATTTTGTAAGAATTCATGGTTTTTTCATAAAAGACAGTTGTTGAAGGATGATGTTAGAACTAAGTTTGAAATTTTGGAATATTTGGAATAACATAAAGAAAAGCAAGCCACACTGATCTTTTTTGATGCAAAAAAGGTTTTGACAATGTGCACTGGACTTTTTTTTAAGGTTTTGGAACTCATGAAGTTTGGGCAGAATTTTATAAAATGAGTGAAATTGATTTATACTTCTCAAAAGGCACAAATAAACGTTAGTGAAGATATAACTAAATCATGTGAACCAAAATAAGCAACAGTAAAATAAAATCAAAATATTTGATGGTAAAGGATATATTTATCAATGTTTTTCTTATATCAGAAAAGTTTAAAATGCATAAAAGATTTTATGACTTTGAACGATGTAAGACTAATTTTGAATAAGAATAACATGTTTCCCCGAAAATAAGACCAGGACTTTTTTTTTTTTCTTCCAAAAGAGGCATCAGTTCTTATTTTCGGCGGAGGGGTGTCTTTTCCACAGTCTCACCTCGCGGCAACAGCACTGACAACTGCGCCCAGCAGGCCCACTTTTGCAGCTACTCACATGCGTCACTCCCGGCCTCCATTTCTCCGTCAGAGGCCTTTCCAAGCAGCTGTAGAAGAAGTGGGCTGGTGAGGCAAGGCAGGTGTCAATTCATGGGAGGCCTGGCTGCAATGGTAAGCAGGTGCAGGGTGCATGGGGCAGCTCTACCCCCCCCCACTCCCACCCTAGCTTGATTTTTGGGGGTGGGCCTAATATAAGTCCTACCCCAAAGATAAGCCCTAGTTTTGGAGTGAAGCACATAGCCAAAAATCAAGCTGGGGTGGGGATATGGAGTTGTCCCACGCACCACTTACCTTGCAGCCAGGCCTCTCCTTGCTGACCCATTTATCCTGCGGGGTCCCCAGGCCTGCATTTCGTAGTCAGAGGCCTTTCTGGAAGAACACTGCAGCCGAGAACCGAGCTATGGATTTAATCCCTAGCTTGGTTCTGCAAGGCCTCTGCAGCCGAGAACCGAGCTATGGATTGATCCATAGCTCGGTTCTCGGCTGCAGTGGCCTTCCAGAAAGGCCTTTGACTGCGAAATGCAGGCCGGAGCTCCATTCTCAGCTGCAGAATGAAATTGCTCCTTCGGCCACAGAAGAAGTAGGCCAGCTGGGCGGGGCTGTCAGTGCCGGAGGTGAGTGGAAAAAATCCCCCCCCCCCCGAAAATAAAACCTGGTGCCTCTTTTGGAGGCCAACAAAAAATAAGACTGGGTCTTATTTTCGGGGAAACATGGTATATAGGCATCTGGATTCTTTTTGACTGATTCTGCCTTTGCTTTCTACATCGTCTGTTTTGTATCTGAGTTTCCCTTCTTCTTCACCATTTGATTGGATGTCTTGAGGTTAATGCTTGGGATTAGATCCTAAAGCCTTGTCTCCCTCCCCTTCCAGTTTTAGTTTAAAACCCTTTGGATAAGCCAAGCCAACTGTTTTCCAGCTGTTCTTCCTGGTTGTTGTGATGTGTAGCCTGTTCCCTGCCAGAAAGCCCTCGTTAAAGTAATGTAGACTGGTCTAGGAATACAAAGTTCTCTCGACAGCACTATCCATTAAATCCTCTGTGCCCTGGTTGGATTTATGCAAGGTTTTATTTATTTATCCGTTTGAACTTTTGCGGTTAATGCTGAAATACTATGTGTTGCACCACTTTACCTCCATATTGCATGCTGTCTTTCTACCATTCTCATCTGTTGCACTGTACATCCTGCTGCCCTTCCATTCCAACATCATTCTGTTCTGACACCATGCCCTCTCCCTTTCCACCTCTTTCTCTTTTTTTGCTTCTTTAACTTCTTTAATTTTTTTTAGACATATATACAGTATTACTTTTCCTCCTTGTTCTTCACCTTCTCCAAGCTAAGCTCCTTGTTGCACCCAATGCTGCGCTACTGCTGTCCTTGAAAAACATGTGTCATTTGCGTCTGCCACTGCCGCTGGTTGCACTTGCCATTTGTGCCTGCACTGCTGCTTGCCGGTTGCACTCACCAATTGCATCCGCTGCTATGCATTTTGTTGCATAGCTGTGCAACTCATGGTTAATGCCTGCCAGTTCACCAGCAGTTGCGGCTGCTCAATAATTGCGCCGGCCATCACTGATTGCCTTATTGCCATTGCTGTCACTTCCCCCATCCTCCTCCTCTTTTCTTCTCCTGTTCTGCCTCTTTTCCTGCTCCCTCTTCCTCTTCTTCCTTTATTTCAAATTTATCATCTTTAACCCCCACCTAACTTTGCCCGAACTTCAGTTCTTCTCTTGCTCCACCTCTTTCCCCCATGTTGGAGCATCTCCTTCAATCATTAATGCTGAAGTTTTTAAAAACTGAAGTATAATTAAAACCAGAAGCTTCTCTTTTGGGACTAATGGACAGGCAACTGGAAAAACGTCAGGAAACTTTATTTTTACATATGACAATTACAATGAGATGATTATTATGTGTTCACAAGGGCAAGCCTCAACACTACTCCCAATGGAGGAATGGTTGGTGAAGATGATAAAACTTGCAGACATGGCTGATTTCACTTCCTTGAATAAAGACAATGTCTACATTTATGGCTAACTGGAAACTTGTAGGCTTTTTACATAAAACAAGCGGTATATAAGTCTCATAAATAAATAAATAAAATGCACTTATGATTTTGACTCATGATTGCATAATAGAAAAAAGTGAGCTTTTTGTAATCAGAGTAAGATAACTTTGTAATCATAATTGTATTTGGTGCAAATTGGAAGTTTCACTTGTTTCCTTTCTATTAGTTTCTGCTAGTTTTTATGGTCTCTTAAAACTTTTAATAAAGTTTATATAAAAAGTTTTGTACTGTTCCATCATAGCTCCCCCTTCCCAAAGTAAAATAGAAAACTAAATTCTGAAACCAAGGTGCTTCATATGTGAATATTAAATGATCTTTTTTATTCCAGTTTACAAACTGCATAATTACAAATTATATAATTACAAATTATATATTATATTTTTAATATCTATTTAACTAATAGGAATATTTTTTTCAATAGATTCCATACAATAATTAAAAAGAGAGAAGAAATATAGTACATAAACTTTGTGATCTACATCAAATTTGTCTTAATTCTAACACAAATGCAGTACAACCTTACTTTAAATACATTTGTTGTCATTTTCTTTCTTTTTAACCATAGGGAGAAATAACTAAAGATGGATTAACATTAAATACAATGGATGAAGAAATGCAAACACTTCAGAAGAAAATAAAAGCATTAAAACATGAACTGAGAACATTAAAAGCAGATACGGTATTTTGGAGCCAGTACTGGGTTTATTTCTGGGCAGCAAGAATTATACAAGATCTACTTTTTCCTTGACAAAGCAATCTGAGAAGTGAAAATAATATTAGTCTTTTTTTTTCAGAATCAGATTCAGGTTATCTTCAATTTATAAATATTTGTTTAGTGACCATTTGATGTTACATCAGGCTTGGAATTGTTTTTTACGGCTCTTAGTAACCAATTCACATTTATGACTGATTGCAGCATCCCACAATCACATGACCACAATTTGTAATACAGGTAGTCCTCGACTTACATTTAGTAACCATTTGAAGTTACAATGCCACTGAAAAAAATGACTTACAACTGTTTTTCACACTTATGGCGATTGCAGCATCCCTGTAGTCACATAATCAAAATTTGGATGCTTGGCATGTATTTATGACAGTTGCAGTATCGTGGGGTCATATGATCATCTTTTGTTATCTTCTGACAAGCAAAACTAAATGGGGAAGCCAAATTCACTTAACAATTAACAACTGCAGTGATTCACTTAACAACTTTGGCAAGAAGTGTAAAATGGAGCAAAAGTCGCTTAACAACCCTCTTGGTTAGCAGTGGAAATTTTGGGCACAATTGTGGTTGTAAGCCAAGGACTATCTGCATTTTTTGTTAGTTTTCGGCACCCATTTGGGAGAATGGATTCAGATAACCATGTGATTCACTTAATGATTGCCATTAACCTGATTATAAAATTGGGTATGGCCATGTGGGTACTTTGACTTAATGATTGACTCTTTGTATGGGCAAAGTATTAAACATTTGATGTTCTATGTCTGCATTAATTGTTTTCTCCATTCTTTCCAGTTAATTAATCAGGATTTTAAAGATGACCTAGCTCTTCCTGGTCTTCCAATGGAGTATTTTAAACTACCTCCTCTTCAGGTGAGTAGAAATAGCGGCAGTATGTTTCAAGTACTTCCCGACAGTAAGAAGTCTTAGCTTGTTTTGAATGTATGTTACTGATTGAATAAACAATATTCCATTCATTTTCATTTCATTTTGTACCGTTACACTTTCTATTTTATAGAATGAGGTTTTGAAGATTGGAAACCCACAAGCTCTTCTTGATGACATGAATATCATTCAGCAATCAGATGAGATGAAGAATATGATGGCATTTCTAGAACAATTATATGAAAAGGCAGACGACCAAGTGAAGTCAGACAATAGATGTACAGAAGAACAAATATGCCTGTACCTTTAGTTCCTTTCGTCTTCCAAGGAAATCTTTGAAAGCAATAGTTTTCCTAATGTGATTTGCATTCTGCAAGGGGCATTGTGGAAATTTTGGATGTCATTAACAAAATATAATTATGGTTTTATTGGAGTAAAGATATCAACAGATAGATTTCTCAGTAATAAACTAGTCCTATTTTGAATGTTGCTACCATTAAGATTCAACTCTTCATGTTGATTAGATGACAAAACAAGATTTTTAAGCCTTTTGACCAGTATTCCATGTTAGGCTACTTACTACTATATAGTACCAATCATAAAAAATTTCTCCTGGTTTTGAGTTGTAGTCTTTTTCTGAATATGCTGCTGTAATTTAGATGCAAGCAGGCCCGCTGCTTGAGAAACCTGTACAAATACAGATAACATTTAATTACCTCATTGGCTAGCTGATTTAAGCGTAAACAAGTTTTCACTGGAGACTCAGTTAAACTTAGAGCTAATGAGCAACAAGTTTCTAGCTCTGAAAAATCAGAGAGTAGGAGTTTATTTTTCCTTCCTTCTGGAACTGAATATTTGTTCATCTGCAAATTTTTGTGGATCTGAGTGAAGAATATAACATGCTTCCTTGGGAGATTAATGCTCCAGGATTCTTAAACTAAAATATGGTTTCTGTCTTTTACTCTGGTCCTTTAGAGAGTGTTTATATAGCAGGTTCAGGTATCTTTTTTCACTTTGAATTGTATCTGAGAGAGAAAGAATGAGTGTCAAAACAACACTAAGCTCGACCAGCATTAGTTTTGGACAAGGGAACCTATAGTCCTTCAATTTCTAGATCTTAAATGAAAGAAGCAATTGCTTCTTCCATTTCTGTCTTTAGAAATAGGTCTTGGGGGGGAGGTGACATTAATTTCAGGAAAGATTAATCCTTATGCCATTCTCTAACTTGTTGCTGAATGAGCTTTCCACTTGGCCACCAATGGTAAGTCTGCTCCTTCTAAACGCTGGGTGGGAGAAAATTTTTAAAGTGGACTGTGCTTAATTATCTTTGTTCTCCCTTTAGATCTCAGGCAGTATCAATGGTTGCTTGAAGTAGCCTAGTTTAGTGCTGAACATTAAGATGTCCAATCACATCTAATGGGAATGTTAATTTTATTTGTATATTTAAAAAGAGACCAATCTTATATGTAATCAAGCAACAGACCTATTACTGACTGTTGCCCTGTTCCTTCAAGTATAATTGGTTCTCATGGATATTGAAATTAATACTTAAAAATAGGAGAAGCCTAAACCCCTATCTTAATTATAGGATATCATTCTTCACTCAGATTACTATTGAAAGAAAATAATACCTGATTCTCCTTGGATTTAATAACAAGTTTAAAGGATAATTTTCTTTCTCGGGGTTATGCTCCTCTCTGTTAATTTTCAAGGGATATTCACTTTTGGAAAATAAGACAGAAATTACTATAAAGGATAATTTTCTTTCTCGGGGTTATGCTCCTCTCTGTTAATTTTCAAGGGATATTCACTTTTGGAAAATAAGACAGAAATTACTGTAGTTATCACCTTGGCCTAGAAGTCTTTTTTTTCCATTTTTTTGAAAAAGTTGTATATTTTAAAAATAAACACATGCTTTTTGATGTAAACCTAAAGAATATTGTGTTGTCAGTGAGATATCTTTATAATTTATTTACATGTTGCTATGAAGAAAACACAGTAGCCTGATCCCCAGATATATGGTTACTATAGAACCATACATCAGAAGCTTAAGTAAAGGAAGTATGAGAGAGACAAATTTTAGCTAAAATGTGTAAACCCATCAGATTGTAAATCTACATTTTCTATAATAGAATACTGCATCTTAATTTTTCAATCTGATTTTTTTTTTATTCTGCAATGGTTTTGTAGCTTTCTGGGATAAAGATTTAAGTCACTGAAGTATGTAGACTTGGGATTGTGAAGGACAATTTAGCTGTTGTAGCTGTTTATAAGAAGCAAAGTAATATTGCTTTAAAATAATCAAAAAGGTGTTTATTGCCTAATCAGGAAGCGCTGTAAAACTTGTACTGCTTTTTTTTAAATTTCAGCTTGAGTTTAAATATAAATGTTTTATCTATAAAAAATTTCTATAGACATGCAATTTACTTTAGATAGACCACAACAATAATTCTATATTCCAGAATAAATGAATCTAGAAACAATTACCTGTATTTCTATGGGATATATTCTTACAGGTGTTTTATGAGTTTTTCTTTGAAGTTTCTTTTTCCTTTTTAATCACTCTATAAGAGAGAGCTATGTGATCCTTGTTTCCTTTCTTTAGTCCATATGTCCTTTCCTTCAGAATCATTCTACTGAAATCTGGGGCACAATGAATTTGTAGCTGGGGGGCATGGCTTAAGGGATAAAATACACTTAAGTCTCTGATAGGCTTAATGTATTTACATTCATTGACATCCCTATCTCACACTGCCTCCTAAACATTCCTGTAAAAGTACCACTAGCTGCAAAAAAATGTCCTCATTCTTGTTGTAGACAATACTCTCGTAAACCACAATCTACAAAAGATTCAGTCAGGCAAATAAGATTGTGAAGAGACACAGAACTTTTCCTTGCCAAACATATAAAAGAAAATGGGTGTCAAATATCGGAAGCTGAATGTTTTGAAGGCAGAGAAGCTGCCTACTTTTCACAATTGTGCACAATTTACAGAATTCTACAATAATGTTTAGACCTAAGAATGATTTGATTGTATTGCTTAATAGCAGTTCTAATTGAAAGTAAGTCAAAACATCTTTTGTTGCAATAAATGCAAGAGTAATTGCATTTGCAGAGGAGGACATGTGTAATGAAATACATGCAAAATGTATCTGGTTTCAAATCCCTCCTCCACAAGTGGAATTTGTTTCCATCCACCTAGTGACTCATCCTAGAAGGTTTATATATAATTTAAAGTTCAGCTTCCTTTTGGGTGTGTTCTGCATCTGAGTAATGACACTAGAGTCAACTCCAGGTATGTGAGATCAGCTCCAGCTATCTAAGGATTAGAATTATGGCCTTTGAAATGGTTGTCTAAACAGATGAATGCTTTAAATGTTCAGGATTCTCTAATTTAGGAATAATTTATTTAAATGGATAAATCTTTTTAAAAGTACTTAATTTTGAAATGCAAAACTTCAAATGAATTGCTTTTTCCTCTATAAGTTCTGCATCCAGGCAGCAAAATTTCTCTGTTGCTAGCTTGGAACTGGTTTTTACATGTACTTTTCCACCATCTCAATTCAAAGCTTCTATATATTTTCTTAGTATATAATGTCATTGAATTTGAAAGGCAATAAGATTTAACATTTTGCTGTACTGTACCGGGTAATATTTTTTTTTTCAGAAATAATGCCTAATTTTTGTTCATTGTGTATTGCTTTGGGTTGCCTTTAGTGAAGGAACTAATATATTCAATACGTAAACTCGGAATTATACAGAATTGATTAATGGATGGAAAAAAGGACATAAGGCAATTATCTAATAAATAAGTACTAGTAGAAAACCAATGATGTAATGTCCCCTGGGAATTAAAATTCTGATTTGCAATCCTTGAGATATGACAGATTATTTAATGACCATTCAAAGCTACAACATACCCCCTCCCCCCCAAAAAAATTATATATGACCCTGTTTCAAAGTAACAAATTCTACAGAAATCATTCTTGAGGCCACCAAGCTTCATAAGAGAATTTGTGTCTATGGTACAATTTGAGTTGGTATTGGATATTCAGAGCCCACTTTATAATATTAGTAAATTAGAAACATCTTTACAGAGAATTTAAGATAAAATTCATCATCTTATTACAGGCATTACTAATCTTACAAAGCATTGAGTAAAATCTAGGAACATGTTTCAGAATGCCGTTTGTCCAATCCATCAAAGTTCTCTTTGTTTCCAGACATCACCTTTTGTACTAGGTGGCTGTTAAATAGGCAAGTGAAGATGTTGGTGCTTAACTGTTCCACAAAACTGCAGACTCTAGAACAAATGTTAAGGAAGAATTTTCCTGAATCCCTCAAGGTAACGTAGATAATTTAAGATTAGCTATTAAAATACATGAAAAGAAGAAAGAGCAAATCAAACTTTATTTATTTATCATATTTATATAGCCACTCATCTAACAGTGATTCTGGGCAGCATACATAATAACCTTAAAAATCACAATTTAAATTTAAAACAATAAACAAAACATCCCTAGCATACAGGCATTCAAAAGGCTCTATCATGGGATCCCCAAGCTTGTTGGCAAAACCAAGTTTTGGGGGCCTTCCAGAAGGCCAATATGATTGAGGCCAGGCTTACCTCAGGAGAAATGATCCACAGGACAGTGGTCAGAACAGAAAAGTCTTTCCTCCTAGGTCTGCCCAATAAAACCCAAGCTGATGGGGCATAATATATCTGTATCCCCGGAACTGATGAGATGATAGATGTAACAGGGCAGGCAGTCCCTCAAATAACTCAGCTACACACAGTGTAAAGCTTTAAATTGGGCCTAGAAACACAGCTTATAAAATAGAGGTATGATGTTTGCAGTTCTTGGAGCACACACAACTGCCTATGCTGTTGCATTTTGTAGCAGCAGAAGCTTCCAGATATTCTTCAAGAGTAGCCCCATGTACATCATGTTACAGTAGCCCATCTGGAAGGAGACTGTGGCATGAATAACGGTAGAATCTCCCAGTCCAGGAAAGTGTAACGGGTGCAACACAAAGCTGTGCAATAACTCTTCTGGTTATAACTGCCACTTGCTCTTTGAGCAGGACACATGAATCCAGAAGAACTGGCTGTGCAAGCTCATTTAAAGATGATAAATTGATAAGTCCTCAGATGTTGAAGGCTCTAAAACCCAAAGTCTCTCAGTCTTCTGGGGGTTTAATTGACATCTGTTGTTCTCCATCAGTCCTTAACAGCTTCCAGAAATCAAAATAGGACATCAACAGTATCAGTTAACAGTGGAGATGAAGATAAGCAGTTGGTGTGGTGATACCACATCCCATGGCAAAGGATGATTTAACCCAGCAGCTTCTTGTACATCTTAAATAAGAGATAGAGAGGAACACTTCAGCATCTAACATAGCAGGGGCCAGAAGCAGGAATTTTTGTGGTGTTGGACTGCAGGGCAGCAGAGTCAGTGCACGCAGTGGGGGATGGCAAATTATAGAGACAGGGAAACCTAGGCAGACAGAGCAAGTCGAAGCATATTATATAGTCATAAATATGTGTCAATTGCTAAGTGCTTGAATTTTGATCATGTAACTATAATTGCTACAATGACCATAACTTCAAGGACTGAGTGTAAGTATCATTTCTTCAGCACTGTTGTAACTTCGGTCACTAAATAAATGTTCATTAAGTGAGGATTACCTATATATAAGGCCTTCTGATGCATGTACATACAGGTAGTCTTCAACTTGCGACCAGTTGCTTAATGACCATTTGAAATTATGACAAACCCTGAATGAGTACTTTATTGCTTGTAAAGCACTTCTGGCTGTCATAAAATGTTGTGCCACTCCCCGTCTTTTTCCTATTGTCCCCTGTCTGCATTTTGGGTGCTTGGCAACCAGCTCACCTTCACAACAAGTTGCAATATCCTGTGCTCATGTGAACATGATTTGCAATTTTTTTTTTGCCGGTTTCTGGCATTTTCTGGCAACAAACATTTGCCCTTTCGACAGCAGCGTTCATTTACCAGTCACAGATTTAATGACCGTGTGATTTGCATAATGACAGCTGCAAAAAATGTTGTAAAATTGGGTCTGTTTGCATGGATTCCTCAACTTACCATTGTAATGACTTACAATTGGAAATCCAGTCCAGTTGCTGTTGTAAGTTGATGACTACCTGGATGTATAGAAGGTTTTACATAGGAGTTCTAGTAAAAGGACTATATTTCATAGCAAACATCCCTAAATAAGTCTGTAAGCAATTCATTCATAAGTCGCAAATAGCAGTGGGGCTTCCCTGATGCTTTTTGGGGAGTACTATTGAGGAGAGGGAGAGTATAAATTTATTTTCCTGATGTTGAAAGACTAGTCCCTTGACAGCAAGAATGGCTTTCAGAATTCATTTCTGTTGTGCGGCTGCCCATTTCCATTCAATAGGTACATAATTAAAAAGAATATGGATGTCGGAAAATGTTAAACTATCGTAAAGTCAGTATTGTTTTTCTACAACATAAAACCTTAGACCAGTGGTTCTTAACCTTTTTGAACGAATCCCCCCCTTGAGCCAATGAGGAAGTTGTCATCGCCCCCCTCTCTCAACATAACCTCTCAATCACAACATAGGAGATAATTCTTCAACTTATCGAAACACTTTTTTTGTTTTCTTTAAAATTGTCATCAGGACATATCGATGCAAATACTTTATTTCCAGTCTTTTCCCCATATCTCAGCTGTGTGAAAAAAATATTTGGTGCCACCCATCACTTTATTCCCAAACTTCGTGATCCATGTATTTCATTATTATCTTATTTATTCAAGACACTTAAATGCAATGACCACTGAAAACAAAATTCAATGGCAAGAAAGTGAAATGCCCGAAAAGAAAAACAGTAACATTTAATGATTGAATTACAAGTGAAATTTAAGATGCAAAAAGAAATATAAAAAGGGCATAAGAGCAAACCGCAATGCAGGAACTAAGAATTTCAAGACGAAAACTCTGAAACTAAATTAAGATTCGAGGAAAGTATATATATATAGTCATGCACACTGTAAAACGGATTAAAAAGACACAAAGAAAATATAATATCGAACTGGAGTGCACGCTAAAAAAGTACAATACAAAATGTTTTACAGAGCCACTCAGCATGCGATGTTTCGAAAGAAGTGCTCCCCCCTCCATCAAATATACGGCGATTCACTGTACAAAAAAGTCTCAAAAGTGTCCCCAAAAGTCTCGCTCCATCACCCCCATATCACCCCCTTTTCATTCCTTCACCCCCGCGTCGCCCCTTTTCGTTCCATTGCCCCCCTGAAAAATGAAATCGCCCCCTGGGGGACAATATCGCCCAGATTAAGAACCACTGCCTTAGACCATTGTTTCAATGTTTTGATGAAATATTGCTTTTGTTACCTCTCCAGCAGAATGATTTACTTAATCCTTTTCTATACAAATACAATTAAGACCTGTAAATATAAACTATTCTTTTTTGTTGAATAAGCCGTAATTTAAGATCTATTAAAATTATTGACATCAATGTTAGGACAATTTTCCATTAATTCATTTTAAACAAAATGAAAATCTCTAATTCCTTTTCCCATTCATTCATCTTTGTCTTGTAACGCTTAATAGTTGTTTCTAATAAGTTAGGTATCTAAAGCTGAAAATGCTGCTAGTCTGAATAAAAATGTCAATAAATATTGAAGCTGCAAATAGTGTCTATTGGTGAATGCTTTGAAAATATAACAAAATTCAAAGAAATAGATTTTTAAAAGTGTTTTTGTTTAATAAAACTTTATAAACCCACTTTTTTTTGAAGGTTTATGGAGCAGTGTTAAATATAAATAGGGGAAATCCATTCAAAAAGGAAGTGGTTGTGGATTCATGGCCAGAATTTAAAGCTGTGATTACTCGCCGACAAAAAGAGGTAAAACAGTACTTGTAATGGATCTACCCTAAATACCCTGAAATGCACAATGAATGTTGTGAGCATTAATCTAAAATTTATACAGATTTTCCTGAGCTGATGTCCTCCAAAAATGTGGATGTGTACTTTATTAACATGTAGAATTCCAAAATTCAATGTCCTGGCTACTCTTGCTTTCATTTTTATTCTAAAATTCTGTTATGTCACATAGAGTAGGGTTGAACTCAGTGGCTAGGGCAGGGGTGTCAAACTCAATTTCATTGAGGGCTGCATCAGCATTGAGGTTGCCCTTGGGGGGGGCAGGTAGGTGTGGCCGGAATGGGTGCAGCCTACTGGGTGGGCGTGGATGGAGTGGGTGTGGCCTACTGGGTGGGCATGGCCAGTTCTACATCATTCGCATCAAGGGTGCCTGTGGGGGCCTGGGCAGGAGTGGGACAGATCTGAGGGTCTCTGGCAGAAGGGGGTGGGACTGGGGCAAGTGCCAAGGCATGATCCACCGGGGCAAGTGCCAAGATGGCCACCACAAAATTGTACATTGGCTCACGGCTGGCCTGGGCCAGGGCCAAGGCAGAGGGGGCCATTCCCTCACTGTTTCCAGGATGGCTTTGCGGGCCACATGAAACCACTTTGCGGGCTGCATCCGGCCCCCGGGCCTTGTGTTTGACATGTCTGGGCTATGGGCTCTTCCAATTCAATTGTTTTGTTTTGTATAATATATCATGTTACAAAACAAAACAATTGAATTGAAAGAACCCATAGCCCAGACATGTCAAACACAAGGCCCGGGGGCCGGATGCAGCCCGCAAAGTGGTTTCATGTATATCCCCTTTATGGATTACTGCCTTGTCGTGGCGAAGGGGCTTGCGTAACTCAATGAAGCTATAAGCTATGCCGTGTAGGGCCACTCAAGACGGACAGGTCATAGCAGAGAGTTCTGACAAAATGTGATCCACTGGAGAAGGAAATGGCAAACCACTCCAGTATCTTTGCCATGAAAACCCCATGGACAGTACTAAAAGGAAAAAAGATATGACGCTGGAAGATGAGCCCCTCAGGTCGGAAGGTGTCCAATATGATATTGGGGAAGAGCAGAGGGCTAGTACTAGTAGCGCCAGAAAGAATGAAGCAACTGGGCCAAAGCTGAAAGGATGCTCATCTGTGGATATATCTGGTGGTGAAAGGAAAGTCCGATGCTGTAAAGATTTTTTCTCCATAGGAACCTGGAATATAAGATCCATGAATCAAGGCAAGCTAGACGTAGTCAAAAAAGAGATGACAAGACTGAACATCGACATCTTAGGAATCAGCGAACTAAAATGGACAGGAATGGGTGAATTTAACTCAGATGACCATCAGATATACTACTGTGGGCAAGAATCCCTCAGAAGAAATGGAGTAGCCTTCATAGTCAATAAAAGAATAGGAAAAGCAATACTGGGATACAATCCCCAAAATGACAGAATGATCTCAATTCGAATCCAAGGCAAACCATTTAATATCACAATAATCCAAATCTATGCCCCAACCACTGGCGCTGAAGAGGTTGAAATTGACCGGTTCTATGAAGCCCTGTTGTTGTTGTTGTTAACTGCAAAGTCGTGTCCGACCCATCGCAACCCCATGGACAACGTTCCTCCAGGTCTTCCTGTCCTCTACCATCTTCTGGAGTCCATTTAAATTCACACCTACTGCTTCAGTGACTCCATCCAGCCACCTCATTCTCTGTTGTCCTTCTATTGCCCTCAATCTTTCCCAGCATTAGGCTCTTCTCCAGTGAATCCTTCCTTCTCATTAGGTGGCCAAAGTACTTCAGTTTCAACTTCAGGATCTGGCCTTCTAAAGAGCAGTCGAGGTTGATCTCTTCTAGGACTGACCGGTTTGAATGCCTTGCAGGCCAAGGGACTCGCAGGAGTCTTCTCCACCACCATAGTTCAAAGGCCTCAATTCTTTTGCACTCAGCCTTTCTTATGGTCCAACTTTCACAGCCATACATTGCAACTGGGAAAACCATGGCCTGAACTATATGCACTTTTGTTGGCAGGGTGATGTCTCTGCTTTTTAGAATGCTGTCTAGATTTGCCATAGCTTTCCTCCCCAGGAGCAAGCGTCTTTTAATTTCTTGGCTGCAGTCCCCATCTGAGGTGATCTTTGAGCCCAGAAAAATAAAATCTGTCACTCCCTCCATTTCTTCCCCATCTATTTGCCAGGAATTGAGAGGGCCGGATGCCATGATTTTGGTTTTCTTAATGTTGAGTTTCAAGCCTACTTTTGCACTCTCCTTCTTCACCCGCAGCAAGAGGCTCTTTAGTTCCTCTTCACTTTCTGCCATTAGAGTGGTATCATCTGCATATCTTAGGTTGTTGATATTTCTCCCGGCAATCTTAATTCCAACTTTTGATTCATCTAGCCCTGCTTTTCTCATGATGTGCTCTGCATATAAGTTAAATATGCAGGGCAACAGTATACAGCCTTGCCAGACTCCTTTTCCAATTTTGAACCAATCAATGGTTCCGTGTTCGGTTCTCACTGTTGCTTCTTGACCCTCATATAGGTTTCTCAAGAGACAAATGAGATGGTCTGGTATTCCCATCTCTTTAAGAACTTGCCACAATTTGTTATGATCCATACAATCAAAGGCTTTAGCATAGTCAATGAAGCAGAAGTAGATGTTTTTCTGGAACTCCCTAGCTTTCTCCATGATCCAGCGTACGCAATTTGATCTCTAGTTCCTCTGCCTCTTCGAAATCCTGCCTGTACTTCTGATAGTTCTCGATCCACATACTGCTGGAGTCTAGCTTGTAGGATTTTAAGCATAACTTTACTAGCATGTGAAATGAGTGCAAGGGTGCGATAGTTTGAACATTCTTTGGCATTGCCTTTCTTTGGAATTGGAATGTAAACTGACCTTTCCCAATCCTGTGGCCACTGTTGAGTTTTCCAAATTTGCTGGCAAATTGAGTGTAGCACTTCTACTGCATCGTCTTTTAAGATTTTGAATAGCTCAGCTGGAATACTGTCACCTCCACTAGCTTGTTGTTGCTCAGATTTTCTAAGGCCCATTTCACTTCACATTCTAGGATGTCTGGTTCGAGGTCAGTGACCATCTCATTGTGGTTATCTGGGATGTTAAGCTCATTCTTGTATAGTTCTTATGTGTAGTTTTGCCATCTCTTCTTAATCTCTTCTGCCTCTGTTAGGTCGCTGCTATTTTGGTCCTTTATCATGCCCATCTTTGCATGAAACGTTCCCTTCATATCTCCAATTTTCTTGAAGAGATCTCCGGTCCTCCCTATTCTGTTGTTTTCTTCTATTTCTTTGCACTGTTCATTTAAGAAGGCATTCTTATCTCTTCTAGCTACTCTCTGGACTTCTGCATTCAATTGGGTGTATCTTTCTCTTTCTCCTTTGCCTTTCACTTCCCTTCTTTCCTCAGCTATTTGCAAAGCTTCCTCAGACAGCCATTTTGCTTTCTTGCATTTCTTTTTCTTTGGGATGGTTTTAGTTGCTACCTCTTGTACAATGTTGTGAACTTCCATCCATAGTTCTTCAGGCACTCTGTCTATGAAGCCCTACAGCACCTTATAGAATTAACACCAAAAAATGATGTTCTTATCATCATGGGGGATTGGAATGCTAAGGTAGGAAGCCAAAAGATAACTGGAATAACAGGCAAGTTTGGCCTTGGAGTACAAAATGAAGCAGGGCACAGGCTAATAGAATTTTGTCAAGAGAATACGATGGTCATAACAAACACTCTTTTCCAACAACCCAAGAGACGGCTCTACACATGGACATCACCAGACGGTCAACATAGAAATCAGATTGACTATGTGCTCTGCAGCCAAAGATGGAGAAGCTCTATACAGTCAGTAAAAACAAGACCAGGAGCTGACTGTGGCTCAGATCATGAACTTCTCGTTGCAAAATTTAGGCTTAAATTGAAAAAAGTAGGGAAAAGCACTAGGCCACTCAGGTATGAACTAAATCATATTCCTAATGAATATACAGTAGAGGTGACAAATAGATTTAAGGAATTAGATCTGATAGACAGAGTGCCTGAAGAACTATGGATGGAAGTTCGCAACATTGTACAAGAGGTAGCAACTAAAACCATCCCAAAGAAAAAGAAATGCAAGAAAGCAAAATGGCTGTCTGAGGAAGCTTTGCAAATAGCTGAGGAAAGAAGGGAAGCGAAAGGCAAAGGAGAAAGAGAAAGATACACCCAATTGAATGCAGAATTCCAGAGAGTAGCTGGAAGAGATAAGAATGCCTTCTTAAATGAACAGTGCAAAGAAATAGAAGAAAACAACAGAATAGGAAGGACCGGAGATCTCTTCAAGAAAATTGGAGACATGAAGGGAACGTTTTATGCAAAGATGGGCATGATAAAGGACCAAAATGGCAGCGACCTAACAGAGGCAGAAGAGATAAAGAAGAGATGGCAAAACTACACAGAAGAACTATACAAGAATGAGCTTAACATCCCAGATAACCACAAAGAGATGGTCACTGACCTCGAACCAGACATCCTAGAATGTGAAGTGAAATGGGCCTTAGAAAATCTGAGCAACAACAAAGCTAGTGGAGGTGACAGTATTCCAGCTGAGCTATTCAAAATCTTAAAAGATGATGCAGTAGAAGTGCTACACTCAATTTGCCAGCAAATTTGGAAAACTCAACAGTGGCCACAGGATTGGGAAAGGTCAGTTTACATTCCAATTCCAAAGAAAGGCAATGCCAAAGAATGTTCAAACTATCGCACCATTGCACTCATTTCACATGCTAGTAAAGTTATGCTTAAAATCCTACAAGCTAGACTTCAGCAGTATGTGGATCGAGAACTACCAGAAGTACAGGCAGGATTTCGAAGAGGCAGAGGAACTAGAGATCAAATTGCCAACATACGCTGGATCATGGAGAAAGCTAGGGAGTTCCAGAAAAACATCTACTTCTGCTTCATTGACTATGCAAAAGCCTTTGATTGTATGGATCACAACAAATTGTGGCAAGTTCTTAAAGAGATGGGAGTACCAGACCATCTCATTTGTCTCTTGAGAAACCTATATGTGGGTCAAGAAGCAACAGTGAGAACTGGACACGGAACCACTGATTGGTTCAAAATTGGAAAAGGAGTCCGGCAAGGCTGTATACTGTCACCCTGCCTATTTAACTTATATGCAGAGCACATCATGAGAAAGGCAGGGCTAGATGAATCAAAAGTTGGAATTAGGATTGCCGGAAGAAATATCAACAACCTAAGATATGCAGATGATATCACTCTAATGGCAGAAAGTGAAGAGGAACTAAAGAGCCTCTTGATGCGGGTGAAGAAGGAGAGTGCAAAAGTTGGCTTGAAACTCAACATTAAGAAAACCAAAATCATGGCATCCGGCCCTCTCAATTCCTGGCAAATAGATGGGGAGGAAATGGAGGTAGTGACAGATTTTATTTTTCTGGGCTCCCAGATCACCTCAGATGGGGACTGTTATGTCCCGAGCCTTGCAAACGGCTCGGGCGTTTGCAGGCAGTCCCGGGCAGATGCAAAGCTGCCCGGGACCAGACAGGCTGTCGCCAGCGCCGTGCGCATGCGTGGGTGCTGGCGCGGGAAAAGTAACACATTTACCCGGGAAGCGTCTATATAAGAAGCTGGGAGGTTTGGGGAGTTGCTGAAGCCATCTACTTGTAAGCTGAATGCTGAATAAAGGAAACTGAGAACTTCAACTGCTTCTCGTGTCTGCTTCCCGCCAAGGACTCAACAGGGACTGCAGCCAAGAAATTAAAAGACGCTTGCTCCTGGGGAGGAAAGCTATGGCAAATCTAGACAGCATTCTAAAAAGCAGAGACATCACCCTGCCAACAAAAGTGCATATAGTTCAGGCCATGGTTTTCCCAGCTGCGAAAGTTGGACCATAAGAAAGGCTGAGCACCAAAGAATTGAGGCCTTTGAACTATGGTGATGGAGAAGACTCCTGCGAGTCCCTTGGACTGCAAGGCGTTCAAACCGGTCAGTCCTAGAAGAGATCAACCCCGACTGCTCTTTAGAAGGACAGATCCTGAAGTTGAAACTCAAATACTTTGGCCACCTAATGAGAAGGAAGGACTCACTGGAGAAGGGCCTAATGCTGGAAAAGATTGAGGGCAATAGAAGAAAGGGACGACAGAGAATGAGATGGCTGGATGGAGTCACTGAAGCAGTAGGTGTGAACTTAAATGGACTCCAGAAGATGGTAGAAGACAGGAAGACCTGGAGGAACATTGTCCATGGGGTCGCGATGGGTCGGACACGACTTCGCAATTAACAACAACAACAACAATATATATATATGTATGTATGTATGTATGTATGTATATGTGTGTGTATATATAGGCAGCATAGAATAAAGATTGCACTCGCTTTCTTAACCATTTCCCAGGTTTAAAATAGCCTACTGTCTTTCAGTTTCCAGATTGAAAGTAGCCTGTTCTTGCTTCCTGAGCCAAGAAAATTCCCAACTGGTATCCTAACTCCAGTTCCTTGTAGGTTCTCCTACTGATCTGCAGCTAGTCGGTGCCCTAATCTGCGACTTCCTCATTCATTTTTATGACCCTTACCTATAGCAACAAACTAGATGCATATCTGCATACTTAATACTATGAATTGAATTAAGATGTTTTTCACACATAGGCCAAAAGTGATGCCCTAGACTACTTTACAAATGCCTGTGCTGTTTTCTACAAAAATCTGCAAGCTTACCAGGCATTGCTGGAGAACCCAGAAACTATAAACTGGGAGCAAGCCTTCCAGATACAAGGTAAAGGTTATTCTTTGCTATGAAAAAAAAACACACATTACTGATTATCCTGAATTTTAAAAAAAAAATTAAAATGAGAGACTGAAAAATTCTGATGGTACAGAGAATTTCAACAGTGAGTCATAAATCATAGATGATGTCGAATTCTTTCTCCACTCAATTTTCACACCAATATGCTTAATTATACCATTTATTAACAGAGACTATCCCAGAGTTTACCAAGTGAGAAAAGCTGCTTCAAATAAAAGATTAATAAAAATGATAATGCAGGTAAACCAAACTCTAACAGGATGCTGTTTTTTTCATCACTTTTTTGTGATGGGATGTTTCTCCTGAGCTTCCCCAAAAGTTGGTCTGACCAGGTAACTGGAACAACTAAGCAGAATCCAACTTTTTTTTTTTATTTTCCAGATGCAGGAGCCATATCATTCCCCATATGAATCTTGTTTAGCAAACAGAATAATGTGAGTGGATTGGAACTCCTTAACAGCACCATTTTCTTCTTTAAATTACTTTACATAACTTTGAACTCATATTGTTTTGATTCTAAACAGGAAGGAAGCTTGTGAGGGCCAATAGTATGCTTCCTTATCATGGAGGATCTTTTCCTTTATTGTTCTTGTCTTCCACTGCCATCATTATTATTTGATCTTGATTCAATTCCTCTGTTAATGGAACCTAGAACTGTGTTGGCTTTTTTAGCAGCTGCAGCATACTGCTGGCTCATATTTAAGTGATTGTCCACTAGGCCTCCAAGATCCCTTTTACAGTTACTACTATTGAGCAAGGTACCCCCCATACTATACCTGTGCATTTGGTTTTTCTTGCCTAAATGTAGTACCTTACTTTTTTCACCATTGAATTTCATTTTGTTAGATAGCGCCCAGTGTTCAAGTATTTCCAGATCCTCCTGTATCCTAAGCCTGTCTTCTGGAGTGTTGGCTATTCCTGCCAGCTTGGTGGCGTTTGCAAATTTGATGAGTTCCCCATCTATCTCCTCGTCCAGATTGTTGATGAAGATGTTGAAGAGCACTGGGCCCAGAACAGAGCCCTAGGGCACCCCACTACACACTTTCCTCCATTGAGGACCACATGCTGAGTACGGCCGGTCAGCCAGCTATGGATCCATCTGGTGGTGATGCTGTCTGTTATGTCCTGAGCCTGTGAAAGCAGGCTCGGGGCATTGCAACGGCCCCGGGCAGGTGCAAGCTGCCCGGGACCAGACTGGTTGTCGCCAGCACTCGCGCGCATGCGCGAGTGCAAGCGCGCCAAATATTGCAGATTGGCCCGGGAATCGCCTATAAAAGGGGCAGGGAGATTTGGGCGTTGTCGGCGTCTTGTAACCAGTATGCTGAACAGAAATAAAGAGGTTCCTGAGAACTACAACTGCTTCTCGTGTCATTGCCATTTCGCGAAGGACCTAACACTGGCGACGAAGGTGGGATTGCCTTACATCGACTGAAGACAGGTGTAAGCTTACCCTAGAGTCCTGAGCAGTAGGAACGGCGTCAACTCAGCAGCTGCCCACCAATCCAGCGAACATCAGGGGTAAGCTGGCTGATAGACCCTTCCTTTTCTACAAAAATGGCAAAAGTTGGAAGACTTTCAGAATTCAACGTCTCGCATCCGGAAAAATGGGAGTCCTACGTAGCCAGGGTGGAAAACTATCTTAAGGTCAATCAAATAAGAGAAGATAGTTTAAAAGCCGCCACCCTGCTGTGCGTTTGCGGTCAAGACGCATTCGAAATCGCTGAAAACATAGCAGCACCTGTACCTCTAGAATCTGTTAACTACACAGATCTCAAAAAACTACTAAAGGAACACTTCCAGCCCAAGTTGTCCGTCATCGCTTGGCGCCACACCTTCGAACAGAGGGATCAGCGACCCGGAGAATCACCCAAAGAATACATTGCTGCGCTGAGAAAAGCCGCTAAACACTGCGAGTTCAAGGATCTAGAAGAACGGCTGAGAGACAGATTTGTATGCGGACTGAGGCATAGAGAATTGCAGCAGAGGCTTTTCGCTGGGCACGTACAAAGGACCCCCTGTGTCACTGAAATTAGACCCCACTGTCACCCCTATTAGAATTAAAGCAAGAAGGGTTCCTTTTGCCTTGAAAGGTAAAATTGACACCAAATTGGACAAATTGATTCAGCAAGGAGTTTTAGAACCTGTCGACTCCAGTCCTTGGGAGACCCCCATTGTCACGCCTCTTAAGGCAAATGGGGACATTCGCATCTGTGCAGATTACAAATGCACTCTGAATAAGGCATTGCAGCAACATGTCTATCCTGTTCCCGTGGTCAGTCATATTCTGGCCTCCCTCAAGGGGGGGGGGTGTGTTTTTGCAAAGCTTGACCTAGCTCAGGCGTATCAACAGTTGCCTGTTGATGCTGCTGCTGCTGTAGCTCAAACCATTGTGACCCACAGGGGGGCATTCAAGGTAAAGAGGTTACAATTTGGAGTTAATGTTGCTCCTGGAATTTTCCAAAGCATAATGGAAAACACACTACAGGGTATACCAGGGGTTTGCCCCTATTTTGATGATGTCTTAATTGCTGGAGACTTTACACACAACTTAGCTGAGAGATTAAGGGCTGTCCTGCTGAGGTTCAGGAAAACGGGCCTCAAACTTAAGAAGGACAAATGTAAAATTGGGGTGCCTTCTACAGATTTTCTGGGATTCAAAATTGATGCTACCGGGATTCACCCTGCTGAATCCAAATTGAAAGCTATTATGGATGCTCCTAGGCCAAAGTCCAAGGCCGAACTACAGGCCTTTCTGGGCCTTCTGAACTTTTACAACTCCTTCCTTCCAAACAAGGCTAGTGTAGCCGAGCCTCTTCATAGGCTCCTGGACAAACAGGCAGTGTGGCAGTGGTCACAAACACATGAAGCAAGTTTCAATGAGGTTAAGGCCTTACTCACTTCTAACAGTGTGCTTGCACATTTCAATGAATCCCTTCCTGTGTGCATCTCTTGTGATGCTTCTTCTTATGGGGTGGGAGCTGTACTAAGCCACCTCAGACCGGATGGAACTCAGGTTCCTGTTGCATATTACTCCAGAACCTTGTCTTCAGCAGAGCGAAATTATGCTCAAATTGACAGGGAGGCTTTAGCTGTTGTCGCTGGAATCAAAAAGTTCCATGATTTCCTATATGGCATGCATTTCACGGTCTTCACTGACCATAAGCCTTTGTTGGGGCTGTTTACCACACATAAACAAACTCCCCAAATCATCTCCCCCAGAATGCTGAGATGGTCTATCTTTCTGTCTGCCTACGATTTTTCCTTATTTCACAAACCTGGGAAAGAAATGGGCCATGCTGACGGCCTCAGTAGATTACCCCTGCCAGTAATAGAGGCTGACCCTGCACCAACAATCAATATCCTCTCCATTCAGGCCTTGCCTGAGTCCCCTTTAGATGCCAGGGATGTGGCTGCTGAATCAGCCATAGATCTCACACTTTCTCGTGTCCTATCTTGGGTTTTATCTGGATGGCCAGAGAGCTGTCCAGGCACTGAGTTTCAGAGTTTCTGGTCCAAAAGGAACGAGTTATCCACTTTCCAGGGTTGTCTGCTTTGGGGGAGCAGAGTTGTCATTCCTGCCTCAATGAGGACTAGGGTCTTAGGTTCCCTCCACGAGGGTCATCCTGGCATTGTATGTATGAAGGCGCTTGCGCGCAGCCACTTGTGGTGGCCTGGGTTAGACAGAGACATTGAGGCTAAGGTGCATGCATGCCACCGTTGTCAGCGCTCACGCCCTGAAATGCCCCAAGCTCCTGTACATAGATGGGAGGAAACACAGTCTCCATGGTCTAGGGTGCACATTGACTACGCTGGGACCTTTCAGGGTCAATTCTTCTTGGTCCTGGTTGACAGCCATTCAAAATGGCTTGAGGTTGTACCTGTCTCTTCCACCACCACTGCAAAGACTATTCAAGTACTGAGGGGGATTTTTGCTGCACACGGGCTTCCTGATGTCCTCGTATCTGACAATGGCCCTCAATTCACTTCTTCCGAATTCCAAGCTTTCTTACAGGCCAACATGATTCTTCATGCCACCTCTGCGCCTTTCCACCCGTCCACCAACGGTATGGCTGAACGCATGGTTCGCATCACCAAGGACGCTTTGAAGAAAATTACCTATGGAGACTGGCATCACAGGTTGGCTGACTTCCTCCTTTCTTATCGCACTACACCTTCCACTTCTACTGGGAGGAGCCCAGCTGAACTTCGTTGGGGGCGCAAACTGACCACCAAGCTTGACTGGTTGCACCCGGACAGACTACCTTCCACAATCACACACCCCAGGGCACCTAGACAACTGCTTGTGGGTGCCCCGGTTTGGACTCGTAACTACGGGCCTGGTCATTCATGGGTCCCTGCCACTGTGTCCAGGGTCACAGGTCCTTTGTCCTACGAGGTTTCCCTGGACGACGGTTGTGTCCTGCGACGACATATCGACCAGCTCCGCCCTAGACGGGACCTTCCCACTGAGACTCCTGGTTCTTTTCCGGGGGGGAGGGGGACCCCTTTGGGCAAAGGGAAGAGTGCGGGCTGCCACCTATCATTAACAAGGGAACTACAGACAGCTCATTCCGAGATTCCGCGAGTGCTCCAAACAGGAATTCATGGAGCCCAACTAGAACTCAGGCACCAGTGCCTACTCCAGCCAGGGAGTCACCCCGGGGGCATAATCACTACTCACCCGCATCACTCAGTACTCCAGTCAGGGAGGATATCCGGGAGCGTCCAAACAACCCACACCCTGCAAGAGAGCTGGCACACATTCCGTCTAGTTGGCCCAACACTGCCCCTGTCCCTAGAAGGGGGCAAGCACACAGGGAGGTGGTCGAGGAACCGAATCCCAACTACAACACCTCTGGCATTACTCAGGGGACAACTGAGTTTTGGGACAGTACTGAAACCCCAGCAAGCCTGGGTACAGAACGGGAACACGGGGAAAGACAACCTCTTGACAGGTCTAGGACAGACCT